AATTTATTTTCTGTTAAAATTGTTTCCATGCTCTTTTTCCGTTCCAGATTTTTGAAAAATGATAGACGGAATAAAACGAAAAGAATTTCAAATATGATTCCGTCAATTAATATATTTCCGGAATTATTGTACTTGATTCTAATGGAAAGCGAAGCAAAGAAATATGTCACGATAGTCAATGTATTAAGGAGATAAAATTGCGAAATTGCGCATTTTGTGCGCACATTCATACACATGTACACAAATTTGCGGAGAAGCAGGCATGATCACCGGCTAAACCTGGCTTTTCAAAAAAAAAAACGGGCGGAGAGGGAAAAGATAGAAAGAAAGAGAAAAAACGCATATAAGGAAACATAGGGTTTAGATTAGTGTGATACAAGGTACGACAAAGCAATAATTTAGTGATTGTACGATATACTTGATTAGCGAATTAGTGCTAAGTTAACGATACTTTCGAAATCTATAAATATTTACTCGATATAAATCGTATAGTTTTGTAGAAACGCTGGGAAGATTGCCATTTCAGAGTAAAACTGTCTTGGGATCAAAAATTTAGGAAAAAAAAGAAAAAAAAAGAAAAAAATTGGTAGTTTGAATGCGAATGAGCAGGGACAAAGAGCCGCAATACATATACATAAACTCTGATCAGAGAAATCCACTAGGATCTTTTTCTTTCGTATCGGCAAGAGACAAACTTTTCTTGAATAATTAAAAAAAAAAAATACAAAAGAAGAAGCAATCAACTGGTCCTGTTTCGAGAAGGTTGTGTGAGTTTTTCATAACGGAATGAGCTTTGAATAATTGAAATACTCGTTCGATTTATATCGACAAAAACCAAGATAGATACATCGCCTTTAAATTCCGATAGTATGATGCAATGCTTCATCATTAGAAGGTAAGAGTCATCTTATACAGGTGCCAAATTTATTTATGCCGAAAGAAAAAGATTTTGCGAAAAGACGCAGGAGAAAAAAAAACTGATTCATACTTGAATATTAATAATTCGAAGAGCAGAGCTTGTATCGCTTATAATCAGTGATTTATAACATTCGCTTATCTTCACATATTGCTGATGATACACCGTATATAATGAAAATCCTCACTTAAAGAAAGAGACTGAAATGAATATACAGGGTGGCCCCGAACGTTCCAGCCAGACTTTGAGATTTATAGATAGGAAATTTAATTCTGATCAAAAAATTTCTCATAAACATGGGTCAAAAAATGCTCCCTTATTAAGAAGTTATCGCTCAAAAACCTCTGATGAAGGAAGAGCAAAAGGTGAAAAGAAAATGAAATAAAAAAGATGAAACTAAATAAATTTCTTGAAAAAAAAATAAAAAATAAAAATAAAAATCTTTTTCTTTTATGAAAATAAAATAATTTTTTTTAACTAACTTTTATTTTATTTTCATAAAAGAAAAAGATTTTTATTTTTTATTTTTATCGTTCTTTTTAAAGAAATTTATTTAGTTTAATTTTCTTTTTACCTTTTGCTCTTCCTTCATCAGAGGTTTTTGAGCGATAACTTGTTAAGGAAGCATTTTTCGACCCATGTTTATAGAAAATTTTTTCTTCAGAATTAAATTTCCTATAAGATCTCAAAGTCTGGCTGGAATGTTCGGGGCCACCCTGTATAAGTCTTTTTTTATAATTTTGTTAAAACTATTCCTTCAAAAGAATTGTTTGGCATCATTATTAACTACTGACAGTGTATAATATCCAATGACAATTTGTCATTTTTAACAATATTATCGTGGAAAAAAAAAGAATTTGCATTTTATAGAAATGAGATCGCGTCAGCGGAAGGTTTACTCTGAACGTCAAAGTTTTAATGGAAGATGAAAGGAACGCGAAGAATTTATTGCTATCGGAAACTTGTAACCGTAAATAAATTTGTAGCGTAAATAAAAAAAGTGAATTGATAGAGGAATTCACTTCCTTCAACACATCCCGGAGCAACTTTATATATAAAATTTTTAGAAAATATACACACAACGCGCAATTTATTAGCAACGGTTCGATTTTTATATCGCGAGGCTTATTTTTCATCACGCATGGGTAAATTAATTTCTTAAACATCATTAAATTAACAAGAGATATCTCTGCAAATGCATCGCAATAAGAAATATTGTCTGCAAATGTATCGAAATAAATATATGCGACATGAGAAATATGATAAATCAGCCGTTTTATAAATCTTTATTTTTTTTCGAAATACGCGGAAACGCGTGTGCGAATCTATTATTTGCGATTTATCCTTATTTAAGTAAAGCCGATAATCCGATAATTGTACCATTGTAATGTCAAAATTGATTCATTATGCTATGTAATTTTTTCTCAGAGAAAATTTTGCGGATTATCATTACAAGAAACTTGTACGAAGGGTGATAAAGGTGAATATGCCAACTTTGGAACAATGTAACACCAAACTTCAACTAGAAATATGTACACGTCGCGCGTACTTTTTAATGTCAAACCAGACTTTATTAGTCATTTATAACGTCGTGTCGTTGCATCTGTACACCTATATTCGTCGATATAAGAAACGATGTCCCCTTTGAAGGGAACAAGGAGACACTGTGCTCAACATCTTCGCAGATTCAGTACCTGTCACGCGAGTATTTAAAAAAAAAAGAAAAGAAAAAAAAACATTCTAATCTCTTCAGATAATTTTTTAACACATTTAAAAATTTTTCCAGATTTCGCATTCTGATTTTTTGCGACGATTATTTTTCATTAAAATACTCAAACTAATAATCATCAGGTCGGATCTCGCGTGTCAGGTGTTGAATCGAGCGGAATTGACAAGACACGAAGAAGCACTCGCCCGAGATATGTAGGATAAAACGTTTTACGGATGACGACAAATATACGAGCTCGACCAACATGAGTGAACCACGAATAAAAAATTGCGGCGGATACACTTTTACAAATTTTACGTAGCACAAACCGCAGGAACGTTCCACGTCATTGCGGTGTCTCAACAAAAGCAATTTTACGTATATACAGAGTGGCCCCGAACGTTCCAGACTTTGAGATCTTATAGGAAATTTAATTCCGAACAAAAAATTTCCTATAAACATGGGTCGAAAAATGCTTCCTTAAGAAGTTATCGCTCAAAAACCTCTGATAAAGGAAGAGAAAAAGATGCAAAGAAAATGAAATGAGAAGAAAATGAAACTAAATAAATTTCTTGAAAAAAACGATAAAAATTAGAAATAAAAATCTTTTTCTTTTATGAAAATAAAATAATTTTTTTTTAACTAACTTTTATTTTAAACATGAATCGAAAAATGCTTCCTTAAGAAGTTATCACTCAAAAACCTCTGATGAAGGAAGAACAAAAGGTAAAAAGAAAATGAAATAAAAAGAAAATGAAACTAAATACATTTCTTGAAAAAAACGATAAAAATTAAAAACAAAAATCTTTTTCTTTTATGAAAATAAAATAATTTTTTTTTTTAACTAATATTTTAGCAATAGCACGTAATAATAGAAAATGAATAAAGACGTTTTTCAAGAAATTTATTTAATTTCATTTTCTTTTCATTTTCATTTCCTTTTACTCTTCCTTCATCAGAGGTTTTTGAGCGATAACTTCTTAAGGAAGCATTTTTCGACCCATGTTTATAGGAAATTTTTTCTTCAGAATTAAATTTCCTATAAAATCTCAAAGTCTGGCTGGAACGTTCGGAGCCACCCTATGTATATGTTTGTATATATATGTGTGTGTATATATATATATATATATATATATATATATATATATAATTTACAGCGATGTGCAATAAGCGACACACGTCAGACGTAATTAATTCGTACCCAGTAATGTAATGCAGAAGCCGATCGTGTTACTGATATGTTTCTTATCAATAAACTAAACCTTAAATATGGATTGCACATTGATTTATTCGATTTTATTTATTCCTATAATCTTGAAGTTTATTCTTCGAGAAGGTATATATCGTATATATGCTACTAGAGTGATCGGAGCAAGACCAATCACTTTTGCGTCGACGTGGTCTCTCTGTATGAATAGACAAATAGATCTTGGCGCGCTTTTCAAAGGCACACTCTATAGTTTCTTTCTCGCTAGTTTATGTTTGTTATATCACAATGGATTTCAAACAAAAAATAATTGATTCTTTCGATAACGAAAAACAACGAGTTTTCGTGCAAATTTACGTGTTGCAAGACCACAGCGCCCGCTTAATTCACCATAACCTAACAAAATTACTCGGAAAGAAAGCGATTTCATTGTCCACGATCAATAGTTGGCGTAATCAACTCCTTGCAGGTGATTTGGCAACTGAAAGAGGACATGGAGGTGATCGAAGTGATCACGCTGTTCGAGCTCAACGTGTTGCAGCAATTCAAGACTGCTTTGACGAATAGAGACACTGGTCTTTGAGGTCTTTAGCGGCACGAACAGGAATACCCTACACCACCGTTCAGTCCATCGTCCGCGATGAGATGAAGATGAGAAAAGTTCTCGGGAAGTGGGTACCTCATGTAGCGCGAGTTGAGAGGAAGATAGTTCAGTGATTGGGATGAGTTCAAGACGCATCTGGACGCAGCTGTGCAGTTACTCAACTCAACTGGCCGTATAACTGCAATACCTCGTCTGGCAGAGAGATGGCAGCGGGTGGTTGAGCTTGAAGGTGCATACCTCTGATGTGCCAATTCTCAATCGGTTGAATTTTCATAATAAAAATCTTAATTCAAAAGTGATTGGTCTTGCTCCGATCAACCTAATATTTTAGAAAAATGTGAGAATTAATAAATATGTAATAATAAAATCGTCCACCTCTTATTCCAGCAAAATATGTGAAGGGTGATGACAAAATTATGTCAAAGAAATGTATCGAAAAATTAACCAAATATCTACATAATTTTATTACTATAACGCAAGAGATCGTAAGATTTAGTGTTATTTCGTACAATATTATTCTAATATGATGATGAAAATGGATTTACGTGAGAAAAAAATTGTAGAATACTGTAATTTCGATTTAATTACAAGAAAACACATAAGAGCGTCACGTCAAACTGACGGCTTCATCATATACAACAGCTGATGCAGCTGAATATACTGTTAAATATCCGGAAACTTATATTGTTGTTGATTGTGTATTTCGAACTATTATACACAGCAGTTGCGAGACTAAAATATTACAAGTTATAATCGTTGCTGCGGCTGTTTATTACTGGAGGCTGCTTTAGAAGGCTGCACCTGCTCGCCAGACTCCGCTGATTTGTTCTTTTTGTCACCGTCCTCGGGGGACTCTTCTTTAGGTTTGTTCCATTCTTTCAAACCTTCCGGTAATGTAGTATCTTCTTCAAAGGATCCAGTACCTTCGACGAATTCTTCATAGGTGGATTTCTCGCGGAAGGGCCGAGGACCAAGTAACTCGATCATATCGTCCCTGCTTAAAATTTCCTGCTTCAACAATCGCTCGGCAACCTGAAATTGATGTCAAGTTATTTATTGACAGCTTGACGCGCACGTAAACTCATTTTACTATTTAAATAGATGATATAATATTGCTTTTACCTTAATTACGTTTTCTTTGTGCTCGTTTAGAAGGGTTCGTGTTCGCTTATGCGCCCTATCGATCAAATCTCGGACCTCATTGTCAATAAGTTGCGCGGTATATTCGGAATACGGTTTGTCCAGGACCATATCTCCCGGCTTCGGCATTTGAAAGCTGACATTGCCGACCTTCTCATTCATACCATATTGCATAATTTGGGCATACGCAATTTCTGTGATCTTTAAAACAAATCCGAAATATACTGATCAATTCGATGAGATAAAAGATATCAAAAAACATTAAAATGTAGAACATGAGAGTAAAAATTCCGTTTCATTATTCTTACAGTTAATTATGATCAGTGTTTGCTGGTATCTAGATAAAATTATTTAGATAATTATCTAGATAAAGAAATGGATCATCTTTATCTTTAACTAGATGAAGAAATACAAAGTATCTTTATCTTTATCTTAGGTAAAAAATATATGTCATCTTATCTAAAAATTGTCTAAGATGACGTTTTCATTATGCAAAAAAGTTTTCCAGGCAAGCTTCTAAAAATCTATCTAAAATATCTAAAATATATTTTTTATTTGGAAAATAATATTACAAATATACTTTATGTTGTACTTGTTTTACTTAAATTTGTGCAATGCATTAATATATATTTTATAAAAATGATATATGTATTGTTACACATTGATTATTATATTATAAATATATTAAAAATATATTATAAATATAAATTAATAAATAAATATTTATCATATCATTTATATACTTTTTTATTATTATTTAAATATTCTTTAGAAAAAGAGAAAGAATATGTATTTATGATTTTAATATCCCATTTATAATCTATGTCACATTTTTTACAAATATTTATAGTCTTATAAAATAAACAAAAATATTTGGATAATTATCTAGATTATTGCAATAATCATCTCATCTTTCATCTAGATTAAGTAAAAGCAAAATCATCTTTATCTCATCTAAGATAAATTTACGGATTTTTATCCTTATCTTTATCTAGATAATTTTGAAATTATCTACAGCAAACACTGATTATGATAATACCTTTTGTAAATCATCCTGAGCGCCTGTGGTTATGCGACCGAAAAAGATCTCTTCCGATACTCGTCCACCGAGCGTCATGCACATTCGATCGAATAATTGTTCCTTCGTGTAAAGATACTGTTCACGTGGCAAATACTGGGCATATCCTAATCCTTTACCGCGCGGAATAATAGACACCTGAGGAAGATAAAAAAAGTCTGATAATAGCAAAGAAATTGTATTTGCTGCGAAAAATAGATAAAATACAGTACCTTCAGCAGCGGATCCGCATACTCTAAGAACCAACCGGCTACCGCATGACCTGCTTCATGATACGCGACCGTCTTCTTCTCCTCAGGTTGTAATACATTGGTCTTCTTCTCCATACCAGCAACTACCCTCTCGATAGCTTGTTCAAAATTTTTCAGTTGAATATTATCATTCAAATCTCTTGCCGCGATTAGAGCCGCTTCATTGCAAACGTTCGCGATATCAGCTCCTGAAAATATCTATACATGACGTCCTGACAGTTTTCATTTAGTTTTCATTCTGGATATAAATATTTGTTAATATTTATCTACTCTTATACAGGGTGTTTCAGACCACCCGTACCACCCATTTAAAAGCTAGAAAAGTGGTTATTTCAAAAAAGTAAAAACATTCTCTTTTTAAATCAGGTGCGCTCTATCGAATGGTGATATTTTCAACTTCTGGTTCCGGCCAGAAATAGGCGATTCAGATCGAAAGTGCATTTTTTTAAATGGAATCCCCCATTTTTTATTACATATTCGTGCAGCTTATCTCGAGAGCTTTCCAAAACACTATAATAAAGTATTTCTTCATTGACTACTTTTCGAGTTATGAGGCTTAGAATCATTTCTTAATTTTACATAAATCATAAAATATCTTGTAATATTCATTTTTCGATTATCTTACCTTAATACTTTTATGTACAAAATAATGAGAGGAATCAATTGATGTAAAGAAAACATACAGTTGTTTTTAACAAAAAATATGGAATTGTTAATTGCAAATTACATATTTTTTCTTCGAAACAACTATGTGTTTTCTTTACGCCAATTGATTCCTCTCATTATTTTGTACATAAAAGTATTAAGATAAGATAATCGAAAAATGAATATTTTACAATATATTTTACGGTTTATGTAAAATTAAGAAATGATTTCAAGCCTCAAAGCTCGAAAAGTACTTCATGGAAAAATAATTTATTATAGTGTTTTCGAAAGCTCTCGAGGTAAGCTACAAGAATATGCAATGAAAAATAGGGGATTCCATTTAAAAAAATGCACTTCCGGTCTGAATCGCCTATTTCCGGCCGGAACCAGAAGTTGAAAATATCACCTTTCGATTTTTGAAATAATCACTTCTCTAGCTTTTAAATAGGTGGTACGGGTGGAAACACCCTGTATATATATTTTTTTTATTACAAACATATTCAATACAATTACATACCTGTAAACCCAGGGGTCAAAGAAGCCATTTTTCTCGCTAACTGATCTTTGTCTAATAAAGTTTTCAAAGGAGCTAAATGCACTTTGAAAATGGATGCCCGTCCTTTGATATCTGGCGCTGGCACAAATATTTGCCTATCAAATCTTCCAGGTCTAAGTAACGCCTTGTCTAAAATGTCTACCCTATTAGTGGCCGCTAATACCACCACATTAGTCGTCGTGTTAAATCCTTAAAGAAGATACTGAACATTAAAAATTATTCTCCTAATTTCAATCTCTTCATAGCTGCATAGAACATACCATCCATTTCTACCAAGAGTTGATTCAATGTATTTTCTTGCTCAGAATGTCCTGCAAAATTTCGACCTCCTCTTTTTCGTCCAACCGCATCAATTTCATCAATAAATAATATACACGGTGCATGCTTCCGTGCCATAGAGAACATATCGCGCACTCTGGATGGACCAACACCAACAAACATTTCCAAGAATTCCGAACCGGATACTGTGATGAATGGTACGTCCGCTTCACCAGCCGTAGCTTTGGCTAACAAAGTTTTACCAGTACCAGGCGGCCCTGAGAAAAATAACTTATATTCACTTGTAGCGTTTCAAATTCGACGACATATTTTAAATATAAAAAGTTCATTCTCTCCTTCCTTTAATTATCTAAAATTAATAATCTTAATTTTATTAAATTAATAATCTTAATATTATTAACTATCTGAAATTAACTATTATTATTAACTATCTAATATTTAATAATCTTAAATATTATTAAACATTATTAATCTTAAATAAAATTACATTTTATTTAAATTATTAAAGTTACCTGTTAACATGGCGCCTTTTGGAATCTTAGCTCCGAGATCTATATATTGCTGCGGGTTTTTTAAGAAATTTACAAACTCCATAATTTCAATTTTAGCCTCTTCACATCCAGCTACATCTCTAGTAATGAGATTTACATTAATGAACAAAAAATGAAAAATAAAACTCATATAATGACAAATTGTTTATTACTTACTTAAATCGTACACCAATATCTTTCGAATTTATTAGTTTTGCAGTTGATTCCATTACTGTACCAAAAAGTCCACCTCTTTTACCTCCTTTACCGATCATTGCTTCCGCAGATCTTCGCATAAAGTAAATGAGCAATCCTAAAATATATATATTTTATATATATATATATATATATATATATATATATATAGATTATATTTTTTTGATACATAGAATACGTAAAAATTATTTTGCTATTATAATAATTATAATAATTATAATAATTAACAAAATAATTATAATAATTATAATAATTATAATAATTAACAAAATTAATAATTAATTATTTACCCAACATGAAAATTTGTGGCAAATATGTTACTATATTTGCAGTTTCTACTTCATTTTTGTAAACCACAGGAATATAATTCTCAGGTCCCATGTTTAATTCTATTTGTGCATTTTCTAGATTTCTTTCAAAGGTATCAGTACTTCCAATATTGAACCACAATACATCCTATAAAAAATATAAATTCTAATACTGACAAATAAGTGAACTCCACCACTGATTTCACAAGGGCAAACTTACAGAGCCATCGACAGTATGTCCAGGTAAAAGTCTTACTCGCACCCACTTTTTGTTTACTACTTCTAATTTGTCAACCAGACCTTTGCTTAAATAACTAAAAGAAAGAAAGATGTGATAATATTAGCATGATTATAAGTATTAACTTATGATTTTAAAATCAATATATACAATATATATCAATATATAATATTAGCATGATTATAAGTATTAACTTATGATTTTATAATCAATATACACTTGCTATTTTATCGAAATATATTAAGGATAATTACATATAATTTATAAATATAATTTACTTGTATGTAAATTCTCTCCATGTGATCTCCTTTTGATTGAGGTCCTGGGAAAGTATATACGCAAGTATACCAGTTACTCCAAGTGCACCCAAAATCATAAATGTCTTATCCTTGTCGCCACCTTCGAACGATTTACCTCCTCGCTTTGAACTATCACTAAAAACTTTAAATGTCCACTCAAAACCTGAATCTTTGGAACTCGATGATGAACTGGAGGTAGACGAAGAAGGTTTCTGCGCAGTAGCTTTCTTACTCGATGCTTCTTCCGCCTTTTTAGCAACATTTTCAGCGCTACTTTCAGCACTTTTAGCTCCACCTATATCGACAGTATTATATTATAATCACTTATTCGAAGCTATACAAATTGATTTTAAAAAAAGGAGAGCTAAATGAAAAAATATCAGGAACCTGGTTTGAAGAATTTTTCGAATCCTTTAGGAGGCTGTTTACAAAATAATCTCCATTTCTGCTGCAACTCTTCAATCATAGATAATGTTGTGCCATTTTTAAACATGCTTCCATGCCATAGAGTTAAGTGTCGCCTCAACTGAAAAAATAAATTAACTCAACGTTATTGTTTTAGTGGCAAAAGAAATTTGAAAAAAAATGACAAGATTTATGTCACCATCTTTCATTTTTCAGATATATAATCTCCCAATGAAAAGTAACAAACCAGTTGATGTACTATAAATTAGGTCAAGATTAGAAAGATGTAAGAGACAACAAACACGTGAATGCTTCTCATTTAGAATTATTATTAATTATTAATTAATTATTATTTATTATTCATTATCAATTATTATTATTTATTAATAATTATTAATTAATTATTATTTATTATTAATTATTTATCTAATGTTTATAGACCGTGAATACGTTAATCGCGGAAATTCAGGATTGCGTAAAACGACCGAGCAGCATGATGACATTTGTCGTGTCACTTTCGTAAAAACGCGCAACACGACGATTATAGTGCGTTACATCGCGAATATCACGGACACGGGGTATGGACGACAGGTTATGACGGTACCTGAAGCGTGTCGAAATAACCTTTCTGAGTGGACCTGAGGATCAGTCTTTCCAGTTTACTGGCCGACGAGAGCATCTGGTGCGCCATGCTTGGGGGGGGGTGTCAACCTGAATGGGCCCGCGATGGGATTTTTGGTCTCGTCTTATCAACGTTTCGAAAAATCTCTGCGACGTACTACCGGCCGCGAGCAACCATTTCAGTTACTGGTGGTTACTGGTGATACCCGCGGCAGTGTTTCGATTAGGGATTCCGTGCGCGCGCATGTGCGGCTCTGCGCATGCGCGACCGTGAAAGTCCAATGTAATTTCACAAGTCGTGCATGCGCAGAACTGCATATGCGCGCGCACGGAATCCGCGACTCTCGAGGCGAGGACGGCAGGCATTGGCTCCGGATCCCGAGCGCCGGTGCTGTCGTCATCGGGACATGTGTATAATAAGATTCCGACTCCGAAATCCTTATCTCTTGATGTTCTTCGTTGATTTTTAAAATTTTCTCTTTTTTTCGAAATTTTTCCGAATAAACTGAAATTTGTTAAAAGAAAAAGCAATCATATTTACCTCCTCGCCGTGCGATATCTTTTCGATTATTATAATTCCCTCGCAGAGAATATACAGGGTGTTTCAGACCACCTGCATTACCCATTTAAAACCCAGGTAGAACGTGAAACTCATGACATCATTATGACGTCACCTAAAAGTTTTTCGAAAAATCATAATAATCTCATTTGATGTAGGCCTTTGGCAATGTTTTGGTGACTTATTAATATCATTTTTTATTATATATTACGCAATTACGTGTTTATTTAATTATTCATGTATATTTTAATTATATTTAAGCAACATAATCTTTTTAAAATTATATAATGCGATTGAATTTAAAAATTTATGATTCTTTTTGTCATCTTTAACTCATTTTTTAATCATTTTAGTTTAGATAACTTTTAAGTGATAAATAAAATCATGATGGCGTCATAATGATGTTATTATGAATTTCATGTTCTACCTGGGAAATTAGAGAAGTGGTTATTTCCAAAAAGTAAAAACATATTCTTTGGGTGCTTTCCAGCAAGCAACACAGGCGACACTGTGTCGCTACAGTGTCGACACAGGTGCTTTCCAACTACGACACAAGTCGACACAATCGTACACAGCAAAAATGCTGTGTTCGCCTGTGTCGTCGTTTTGTAGCACCCCAGTGAGTGCCAACATAACACTTCATATTTGGTATCATTAATTTTTTAAGAATGGTATTGCGTGATATTGCGTCCGAAAGACATCAAAAGACGACTTAAAGACATCTAGACGTCTTTAAGACGACATAATGTTGTGTAGGAACGTTCTGAAAATTTAGACCTAGTGACAACTATTAAAAGTGACTGCCCTGCACTCTAGTGGCAAAATAAAAAAGCTAAAAAGCGTTCCAGCTACAAGTCGACACTGTGTAACACTGTGTCACACAGTGTATCACTGTGTTACCATAGCTGGAAAGCACCCTTTATAAATCGGGTGCGCTCTCTCGAATGGTGATATTTTCAACTTCTGCTTCCGGCCGGAAATAGGAGATTCAGACCGAAAGTGTATTTTTTTAAATGGAACCCCCTATTTTTCATTGCATCTTCTTTTAGCTTACGAGAGCTTTTCAAAACACTATAATAAATTATTTTTCGATGAAGTACTTTTCGAGTTATGAGGCTTAGAATCATTTCTTAATTTTACATAAACCATAAAATATCTTGTAATATTCATTTTTCGATTATCTTACCTTAATACTTTTATGTACAAAATAATGAGAGGAATCAATTGGTGTAAAGAAAACATATAGTTGTTTCTAAAGGCTATAGCACACACTTTCCATAAGACATGACAGTAAGGTTTCGACCAATCGCGTTGCTCAATTTGGCCGTCCGTAACCAAATTGAGTAACGTGATTGGTCGAAACCTTATTGTTATGTCTTATGGAAAGTGTGTGCTATAGCCTTAAGAAAAAATATGTAATTTGCAATTAACAATTCCATATTTTTTCTTAAAAACAACTCTGTTTTCTTTACACCAATTGATTCCTCTCATTATTTTGTATATAAAAGTATTAAGGAAAGATAATCGAAAAATGAATATTTTACAAGATATTTTTATGGTTTATGTAAAATTAAGAAATGCCTCATAACTCGAAAAGTACTTCATGGAAAAATAATTTAGTATAGTGTTTTGGAAAGTTCTCGAGGTATGATACAAGAATATGCAAAAATAGGGGGTTCCATTTTCAAAAAATGCACTTTCGGTCTGAATCGCTTATTTCCGGGAGGAACCAGAAGTTGAAAATATCACTATTCGATAGAGTGCATCCGATTTATAAAGAAAATGTTTTTACTTTTTTTAAATAACCTTCTCTAGCTTTTAAATGGGTGGTACGGGTGATCTGAAACACCCTGTATATCTTAGTGGGTTTAGTTAGCAATTCAGTTTCACAGTTAATTATATTATGAATAAAAACCAATAAAAGTATTCCAATACAACGCCATAAATATATGTTTTAAAAAGGTAATGATGTCATTAATTTTAATACTCTTTATACATTCTGACTTATTTTATAGAATATACTCTTCTTCACTTGTTGCTGATTTCTTTGTTTTATGGTTTTCAGGAATATCTGTCTTCTTTTGGTTTGACTCATTGTGTATGGCCAAATGAGACGATTTCTAGATTTAAGATTCTCTAAGAAATTCTCTTAGCTGCCGAGAATAGATCAAGAATTAACAACCGATATTTTACTCGATGGTAGTGAAATAATTAAGATATTGTAATATATAGAATGATATCCTGACGTGCTCCCGCGGCTTCCAGCCAAGCCTCCGCTCTTCATTCTCTAATTTCTGTCTTGATCTGCTCCAGTTTTCCTGCTGTCAATTGGGCGATATTTTTTGAATTTCGAGATACCGAAAATTCGCAAATGCAGCGCAGATGCTGGACGGCTTTTTCTCCACTATGGAGGGATGCAGGCTCTGAGAAGTTTATTGTCAGGCTTTTTGCCCTTGTAACGGACGACCTAGAAAAACACGTCACAATATATATTATTATTCATATTTATTATAGATGTTATTTTGTATTTATAAAATTCATTTTCTATAAAAAATGAATGTTAGTAAATACACAAAGTTTAATAATATTTAATATATATTTATGATATAAAATACATGTGATTTTAAAAATACACATAAAAATACATATTAATTGTTTTAAAATTAAAAAGAGAGAAACAAAAAAATGAATGTAAAAAATTTCATGTCAATTTCAAATTTTTATACAATGGAGACACAAAAAATCATCAAAATGTATCTTGAAATTTTGCTTAATTTTAAAATTTAAAATGAAATTTTTTTATATCAATATATATTCTACTGTGATATATATAAGAATAAATATTTTTGAATATAATATACTATCTCTTAAATTCTCTTTTAAATTTATATTTTATAAAGAGAGTTATAATTAGTACTGAGATATAGTGTAAAACACACACACACACACACACACATACGTGTACAACTTTTATTAATCTACTAATTGATACATTGTTTATGAAATTGCTTATTTCTACAAGAATGATATAAAATACATGTGATTTTAAAAATACACATAAAAATATATATTAATTGTTTTAAAATTAAAAAGAGAGAAACAAAAAATCATTTCAAAATATACCTTGAAATTTATCTTAATTTTAAAATTTTAAATGAAATTTTTTTATATTAATATATATTCTACTGTGGTATATATAACATTTTTTAATGTAATGTACTGTCTCTTAAATTCTCTTTTAAATTTATATTTTAAAGAGAATTATAATTAGTAGTTTACTGAGATATAGTGTAAAATGCACACACACTTACACATACGTGTACAACTTCTATTAATCTACTAATTAATACATTATGTTTCTATGAAATTGTTTATTTCTACAAGATTACATATAATATATGCGCATTATATCTAATTTATGTTTTTACTCAATTTGTCCGCATTAACTTCTATATATTTTGCAAAGGCATTACAAAGATTATTAAGTATCATGTCAATGGCTTCCGAAACGGCAGTGATAATCTTTTGTAAAATATTGGAGCCTGAATTGCTTCGCACGCGATAATACGAAGATATGCCCCATTGCTTTAAATTTGCTTTACAATATTGCCAGACGAGAATAAAAGCCATGAGTAAAAAATCGCTTTTATCTCTAGAACGTTTCATTAATTTTTCAACAATTTTGAATAGTTTTATCAGACATTCTTGATTGATTTTCATAGAACTCATATCTTTAAGAAGTGGTTCAAAGTCGGGAAGCAATGGCAAATTTTTGCTCTTGGGACAAGCATCACTCATATAAAACTTACTTAATAAATCCATAAATACTTCTTTTAACGGATTAGCGGTAGAATCATTAACATTGTTTTGGAAACAAGAGGCATTATTTGAATGAATTTCAAATATATCCGAATTTTCGAAGAAACGAACAACATATTCAATAGGATCTAACAATATAATACCGTTGACTTTTAATTTACCCTGTTCGAACGACCATATAATATTACTTGTGACCTGGTTTAATTTTTGATCATAAACAATAGACTGATTAACAGGCTGATTAACAGACATCTGTTCACGATGTCTTATATATTTTATCACATCCGCGTTCTCAGATATTTTACATGTATTATTCTCCGCAGCTTTTCGTGCAACGCGATTAAATTCCTTACGAAGATTTCTCTTACGTAAAGTTTCTTTGTAATCATTTATGACTTTACCTTGGGTATTCTCAATGATATCATTGGCGAATTGAATCTTTACTACAGTGCCAGCAAAAAACATAACATGTATCGCAAAATTTAACACGTCTACACTATTAATCTGACTCTTGTCCGTCATATATTTATCTACTATGTAATAACTCTGATATACAATACCGGCGCCATTCAAGAGTAGATTGCCACCTTGCACGGTATTAAATGCTACTTTTACGAAGTTAGGTATTATTTTACCCTTTGCAACAGCGTTGGACAGAGCAGCTGAACCTCCTAGCGCTCCTAAACTAAATGTTGTACCAATTATGCTAAGCCAATGAGGTAATGCCTCTTTATCCAAAATAGGTTCCTCGTGGATTATACGATCTGCCAATTGCTGAGAAGATCGGCCGACTGTCCAAATACCGCTTGCACCAGTAGTAACAAGACCTATAATATATATTACAGAATATGTTTCAGAAACAAAATATACAAATTCCCAAAATTCATATTTTAATATACAGGGTGTCCCAAAAGTCGCGAACCGGTCGAATATTTCATAAACTATGCACTTTAGAAAGAAATGTTTCAGACAAAAGTTGTATGGCTTGAAGGGGGCCATCAGATATTGGCAATGATTTGAAATGGGAGAGTCATTTGAAAGTCACGCGAAGATCACTGTCAATTTCTTAAATAAAACTTCCTATTTTTTATTACATATTCGTATAGCTTATCTCGAGAGCTTTCCAAAACACTATAATTAAATATTTTTTCATTGAGTACTTTTCGAGTTATGAGGCTTGAAATCATTTCTTAATTTTACATAAACCGTAAAATATCTTGTAAAATATTCATCTTTCTATTATCTTACTTTAATACATTTATGCACAAAATAATGAGGAATCGATTGGTGTAAAGAAAAAACATAGTTGTTTTTAAGAAAAAAATATGTAATTAGCAATTAACAATTACATATATTTTTTTAAAACAACGATACTTTTCTTTTCACCTTCTGCTCTTCCTTCATCAGAGATTTTTGAGCGATAACTTCTTAATAAGGAAGCATTCTTTGACCTATGTTTATGGGAAATTTTTTGTTCAGAATTGAATTTCCTATAAGATCTCATAGTCTGGCTGGAACGTTCGGGGCCACCCTATATGTGACAAATTGATATTACATCAATTATACATATTTTATGAGAACTGACCTGTCATAACAGCAATTGGTGCAAGAGGTGTAAACAATGATGCGACACATAAACCAACTGTGCTTCCTAATCCGGTAATACCAGAAACAATATCCACTCTATTACAGATTACTGATGTCCATCTGCATGCTGGAGATTCTGTGATTTCGAGCCAAACTGTGGAATAGTCTTCTGTTATCGGGTAGGACACATCTGCTTGATAAAAGCCATCTTTGGGAAGAACCATAGTACATTTTGGTAAATTATTGTTTTCTACATAATCTATCCAACTCTTATACACTCTGCCACAAGTATCAATGTACCAAATTTCATAATCATTTTTATTTTCGATTTTCGTACTTTTTTTTGAATATTTTGACGTCTCAGATTTTTTCTGAATATTTCTTCTAATTGTAAAAATTGGAATAGACGATATTGTAGGTTCTTTTTCTTCTTCTTTTTTTTCTGTCTTTGTTTCTTTATTCATTTTCTTTTTTACTTCTTTTTCTTTCAGAGAAAATATTACATTGTAAATTATACCAAAGTAAATTGGTTGGGTGTTATTAGTTCCTATTGTATATTCGCATATCTTATTATATATTATATCTATGACATTTTTAGCTTTTTCATCATATTTTATTGTGTCAGCTATGTCTGCATCTATGTCACTTATATCTTCTGATTTCTCATTGCTCACGCATAAATCATATAAACAATATTCTGGTAATCCATAAATCGCATAACCAATATTCTGTCGTAAAAACTTATGTTCATTAAATTGATACTCTATGCACTCAGGAAGTAATTCGAAGAAGCATTGCTGCTGTTCAATAGCAAGGTTCTTCATTTCTTCCTGAAGGAAAAAAAAATATATATATAGTCAGTTTCATTAGTTAATTTCAAATTCTAAAAATATGATATATTTGGAAAGATAAACACAAATAAACATTAATTATAATAAAATAATATTAATATAATGATTCTAAATTGAGAATATTTCAATATAAGATTATATAAGATCATATTTATTCTAAAATCAAGAGCTTACCCAAAGCATATCTGTGACTGTTTTGTTATTTGTAGAATTTGGAGACTCCTTCTTTTCTACAAATAAAATTATTAATTATTAATTTGCATATGGTTTTACTGAAAATAACTTAGCAATTTATAATATCAAAGTAGAAATTGTAGATTTATTTAATGAATTAACATTTAAAAGTCTCTTTTTGAAAATTTTGTAATCTACTTATACTTCTATATTTATATACTTATGCTATACACTTCTATTGATCTGTCAAAATACGTGTCCTATTTGCATATTCTATCTTATTTAACGAGATGATATCTCAATTTTTTAACTTTGCAAAATGATCTCATATTTTATTCTAATGTTTTATGCCAATGCTAATACTTTTTTAAGTAAAATATTAAAGTAATATTATGATATTATGTTACAACATTCTTGATTTAATTGAAGCACGCTACTATAATTCTTGTCATCGCAATGTTTTTTATATTTATCATCTGAAATAGCTGTTATCATATTTTTCACTACTTCCGAATTAACCGAAAATATCGCAAAAAATTCCACAATAATTTCTATGAATTATAATCTTCTATAAACTGATATATTACAATTTCCCGGTAAAATTTTAAATCAGATTCTAATGATGAACGAAGAGATTTTATAGTTTATTGTCACATTCTGCTTTCGGGCATAAAAATAGGCATATTAATTTTATGTAATTTGTAACGATTGCATTTCTGTACATGCTCCATCTGCCAAAAGAAACATCCTGATTCAGGTAGAACATGAAACTCATGACATCATTGACATCACCATGATTTTATTTATCACTTAAAAGTTACCTAAACAAAAATGATTGAAACATGAGTTAAAGATGACAAAGAGAATCATAAATTTTTAAGTTCAATAATCGCATTATATAATTTTAAAAAGATTATGTTGCTTAAATATAATTAAAATATACATGAATAATTAAATAAACAAGTAATTGCGTAATATATATAAAAAATTATATTATTATTACAGGCAAGATTTAATTTAGCGAAATAATTACACATAATAAGAGAAAGAGAGAACATAGAAAACATTTTTTTGTTACCTTTTTCTTTATTTTTTGATATACACATTTTAGCAAAATTATTTTTTCTTCTATGACTTGGCACCGATTGAACACAGACAATCTCTTGAACAATACCTATTGAACGAGAAATGATTGTACACTTGGCTGGAAGTCAATTTTATCAATGTTAAACGTCGACTAAAATCAGCAACAAGTAGATGAAAAGAACAAGAAAATGAAATGCAAAGTCAGCAAAGTAGATAACAATGAGATGCAAAGTCAGCAAAGTAGGTAATAATGAGATGCGAGAAACAACGGTGAATACCCCGGTAGACATTTTGATTTAACTTTCGCTATTTTTCTAACAGTATGAGCGGGAAATGGCGGGAAACTATCCGCTCTTTGCCTATAGTGTACGTCACGTAAACTATAGATTTTCAGTATTGGCAGTGAATTTTAGAACACAGCCTTAGGCTAATATTACATTTGTCGTACGACAAATTTTTTAAGCACATTGATTGGTTGCGGGATAATAATTTTTTGAATCTTTAAAAATTTTCTATTCTGCAGCCAATCAGTGTGCTTAAAAAATTTATCGTACGACAAATGTAATATTAGCCTTAGGCTGCGTTTCAAAATTCACTGCCAGTACTGAAAATCTATAGTGTACGTCACGTAAACTATATATTTTCAGTATTGGCAGTGAATTTTGGAACGCAGCTGTGGCATTTTCTGATTTCGTTTTATGAAATCTCTGTAAAGTTAGCCGGCCAACATTAACTTTTAAAACTTTTTTATTGACGAATCAATTGTTGGTGGTTTCTTGGTCTGTCATATCTTGGTGAGGTTTGGTAACATATAAAATTAATTTTTAAAATTTTTCATAATATGTCAAAATAACTTTTTATATTTACTATTTAAATAAAATAAAATTTATCATTATAATTTTTTATCATTATAATTATTATTATTTATAATATTAATATTTTAATTTAGACAAAATTTATTATAATTTATATAATATTTCTTATATATTATCTATATAAATAATCTATATATGTTATCTATATAAATAGTATTGATTATTTATTTATAATATGTATAAAATATATTTTATATCATTATAATTATTTATAATATTGATATTTTAATTTAGACAAAATTTATTATAATTTATATATTTCTTATATATTATCTATATAAATAATCTATATATATTATCTATATAAATAGTATTGATTATTTATTCATAATATATATATAAAATAATTATAAATAATTATAATATTTATTATTAATAAATATCATTTATATTCATAATAGAATTATTAAAATTTGAATATGAGCGGGAGTTGCATAAAAATGGCGGACCAATCATAACTCGCCTGATGGCCAGTCTTTTATTAGAGGGTCTCTACTTTATAGGTATGAGTTGCTATCTACCGTATATACTGTGCTTTAGGATTTTCAAATGCAGAAAACAACTAGGTGCAGTCTATGCCACGCTCTTCTGTATGGGATCTATTGAGGATTATTCGGCTATAAACCTGTGATTGATTTTATTTATAGAATACTTTAAATGATAAATACAAATTAAATTGTTCTTAAAATGTTCGAAAATTCTTAATCATGAATTCAAGCGCAGTGTCAAAGGTATAGATAGTAATTGCAAATTATATTATTATAACCTGACACGGAAAATGAAACATTATCTTAGAAGCAAAATGATATTTTTTATTTTTATTTTTTGATATTTTTTATAATAGTATTCTTTAAGATGTAATTTTCTTTTTAGCCTCCAGTTGTACCATCTGTGCAGGAATTCAGCATTAGAGTACCAAAGTTTGTATTTTTAATATTTATATTTTTCATTTAATATATATCACAAATTTTTAATTGAAAATAATTTATGAAACTAATAGAAACAGCAAGAAAAAACACAATGTCATGAGATTCAATGCGACGCTGAATGTAGATTTTTCAAAATGGACGCAAGTAAAAATGGAACGAGAAAATAACATGAAGGAGTACAAGGGTTTAGAAGAGGAAATGCCAAAATTTGGTGCTGGATCCGAATTTGGACGTGACGCTAGAGAGGAAGCCAGAAGAAAAAAATATGGCATTACCAGTAGAAAGTATAAGCCGGAAGATCAACCATGGATTCTGAAATCAGGAGGAAAGACTGGCAAGAAATTTAAAGGCATTCGAGAGGGAGGAGTCAGTGAAAATGCAGCGTACTACGTTTTTACTCATGCTGCTGATGGTGCAATAGAAGCCTTTCCTTTACACGAATGGTAGGTATCTTGTATTGTTAATTGTTTCATTGGTAATTATTGAAAAAACATGTAACTTTCACATACAGGTATAACTTTCAGCCAATTCAGAGATACAAGGCTCTCAGTGCTGAAGAGGCAGAGCAGGAATTCAGTCGTAGGAACAAACTAGTGAATTATTTCTCATTAATGTTACGTAAGAGATTGAGAAATGATGAGGATGGTGGTGATGACGAAGAATTAGTGGAAGGCGGTAAAGTTAAGAGGCCAAGTAAGAAAGAAAAGGAATTGAAAATATCAGAAATGGATGAGTGGATGGAGACCGATGATGATGAATCGGGCAGCAACGAAGATGAGAATAAAAAAGGATCTGAAGATGAGGATGATGCAAAGAAGATAAAAGGCAAAGGTAATAAATGAAATAATCATTGGTTATACATATTTATTTTTATATAAAAAAATTGTTATAGATAAGTATATGCAATATATAGTTCACCTAATATTTCAGGTCAAGTACAAAAGAAAAAGAAGAAGAAGAAAGATACTTCAGATAATGAAGCGTTTGAGGAAAGTGATGATGGCGATGAAGAGGGAAGGGAATGCGATTATATTTCTGATTCTTCTGATTCTGAATCAGAATTAGAAAAACAGAAAGAAATTAAGTCTGTTGCAGAGGAAGATGCATTAAGAAAATTACTTGCATCTGATGAAGATGAAGATGATGAAGAACAAACAGATAAGAAAGAAGGTGAAGAAGACAAGGATGAGGATGAAGAAGGAAAAGAGAAGGATGATAAAGTGAGGAGATCTGATTATTGTTATGACACTTATTGATAAACATTGCATCTGTTGCATATTATGTTTCCTACATATTTTTTAAATGATATAAATCAATCTATTTATCGTTCTATTTATCAATCTATTTATCGTTAAGTACAACTCTTAAATATTTTTATATAATTATATTTCTCTAATGCATTTTACCTTATATTTTAGGATAAGGACAAAGTCGGTAAAGAAACGGATAAGAAGAAAGATAAAAAGAAGAAGAAAAAAGCCAAGAAGAAAGATCAAAAGTCAGCTTCTGGCAAGGATTCCTCTAGCGATTTTTCTAGCGACTCGGAATCAAATTCTGATACAACGTTGAAAGATAATAAAGATAACAAAAAGCCTAATAGCGCTCATAGTTCGAGATCGGCGACGCCAACACCTGCAGCATCCGGGATGTCCGATTCTTTTAAGAGAAAACGGTCTGGATCTCCAGACTTATCGCAAGCGAAAAAATTAAAGTTGGACAACTTCAATCTAGTTCCAGTAACATCCTACATACCAGGAGCAAAGTATGTTTTTGTCCTTGCATCAAACAATAATAAATTTTTTAATATTTAAAAAAATATTAAAAAATTTTTTATTGTTTAATGCGCATTTTTTTGTACTTTTTAGCGAATCGGGAATTACGGAGGATGCGGTGAGACGGTACTTAATGCGCAAACCAATGACGACGACCGAATTGCTGCAGAAATTCAAATCCAAGAAAACCGGTCTTACATCCGAGCAGCTTGTTAACATTATGACTCAGATACTTAAGAAAATTAATCCCACTAAGCAGACTATCAAGAATAAAATGTATTTATCAATCAAAGCACAGTCCAATTAACTCTAGTTTTTCAATTATCATTTTTACGATTTTTTGATATGTTCATGATTATGTGCTGTATAATACTATTATACTATATAATACTATACGTTACTTAATATGTTCATGATTATGTGCTGTATAATATTTAATTAATATTTAATTATAATAATTTCTGTATTAAAAGTTTTGCAGAAAACTGTACCGAAGCATCTTGACTCCAAACTCATGACCTTTTCAATTATACCGATTATTGGACTATCGGAATAACTGTGTTGATGACTTATAATCCCTTCTCTGCAATTGTTTATTAATATGCACGCGTCCGCTCATTCTGTTTATCGCGTCCAAGAGGAAAAACTTTCGGGATATTCTCAATAAATTTTTTTTAATCAACCAATATGATGCCAATATGAGGCCAATATGATGATCAAAGGTTCACACTGATGATAACGCCAGTGTAGTTCTTCGAGTTTATCGAATATTTTGTAATACTTTCTGATACGACATATAATGTATACAAACACTGATATAATAGTACCATAACAGATTCGGGGCAAGACACATCGAAGACACAAGTAAGATTCCTTAAGAAGAACTACATTATTTCAATCGACGCAGTCATCGCAAATCGTGAATTTTTTGTCAACAACGCTGATCTTCACACTGTCATTAAATCGATATCGATAAAAGTGTGATGCGGATGTTAGGATTGATCGAATCACGTCATCTGCTGACTATTGCAACTCGTGCCGATACCTGTAATGTCAGGTACATAAGTGTAAGCATCTTAAGTAATGAATCTCATGTGATGTAATTTTGCTTAAGGATGTATTGGAGATATATTGCAATCCATGAGATCGCCGTGAATTTTTAATTTAACATTCTTAATAACATTCTAAATCGTCATGAATTATTTCAAATTTTTTTACTTGCTTCTTTAAAAGTTATTAATTTTTGAATTTTGCGATTTTAACACAGGATCTTATGTTCAAGAGAGACAGGTAATAAATTATTTACAAACTAGAAAAAAACAATGATAAAAATTTCATTTTGTAATATTATATTCTTCATACATGTAAAAATGTTCCCACAAAGTTTTAAAACGATTTATTTACTCGTTTTGAAATTATTATTAAAAAATAATTGTGATTATCGGTTTGACCCAATATTGATGATAAAACGTGGCAACATTTTCTTGGAAATTAAGACCTATTTATATTAAAAAATACTTTGAAGTATGATTTCGTGATTTTTAAAAAATTTTAGATCAATTAGAATTCGTATTCTGCCCAACTTTAATTTTTTAGTACTTTGGATTAACTTTTAAGACAGATGGTCCGTCCAATACGTCCTTAAATGCTTGCGCCGACGTCCAATCTTACTAAGTTTTGTGAAAATAATAGATGAACGAATTCATTCCAAGGACAGATTTTTTTGTCTTTAAAATTAGGCGCTGTGAATTAAAAGGTTTTTTAATTTTTCTTTTCGCCCCATCAAATAATCAATTATACAAGATATTTTTAATAATTAGATACTTGGCTGAAATAAAAAAAATCAAAAAGAAAATGACGTAAGAGCCAACACACGGTAGTTGGAGCGCAAAGAAGCCCCAGGTAGAACATTAAACTCATAATGACATCATTATGACGTCATCATGATTTTATTTATCACTTAAAAGTTACCTAAACAAAAATGAGTTAAAGATGACAAAAAGAATAAATTTTTAAGTTCAATAATCGCATTATATAATTTTAAAAAGTTTATGTTGCTTAAATATAATTAAAATATACATGAATAATTAAATAAACAAGTAATTGTGTAATATATATAAAAAATTATATTAATAAGTCACCAAAATATTGCTAAAAATATATCAAATGAGATTATTATAATTTTTCTAAAATGACTTTTAAGTGACGTTATAATAATATCACCTAAAAGTCATTTTAGAAAAATCATAATTTAGTTATATTAATAATTATTTATTATTTATTAGTAATAATTTAGTTATAAGTTTCATGTTTTACCTGGGGCAACAACACTTCTTTCTTTTTTCAATATTAGTTTATTAAAAACATTATATAACAAAAAGCGCTTTTTGTTATTATAATATGTTTATTAAATTTTGTATTTAGAATAATAATAAATTTTGTTATTATAATATGTTTTTAATAAACTAATATTGAAAAAAGAAAGAAGCGTTGTTGCTTCTTTGCGCTCCAACTATCGCGCGTTGACTCTTACGCCATTTTCTTTTTGATTTTTAGATGATACTTTGTTAAGAAATACAGAAGATGAATCTCTTTGAGTAAGCATCGCGCATTATTTTCAAGCATTCTTCAACATTCAATTTTTTTTTCAGAATCTTAAGGGCAAGATAATAGCCATAAGACGAGAGGACCAATCAGTATGGGAGAGAAGAGCACCATTAGCCCCGGCGAACGTTCGCCACCTCGTCAGGTCGGGCGTGAAGGTGATCGTGCAGCCCAGCAACCGACGAGCGTATCCTGCCCAAGCGTACCAAGCGGCAGGTGCCCTGCTTCAGGAGGACATCAGCTCGGCCTCGGTCATCTTCGGCGTCAAACAGGTACCTGTGGACCAGTTGATCCCCAACAAGACGTACTGCTTCTTCTCGCACACCATCAAGGCGCAAGAGAGTAATATGCCCCTCCTGGACGCGATCCTGGAGAAGAACATACGTTTCCTGGATTACGAGAAGCTTACCGACGCCGATGGTCAGCGAGTAGTCGCCTTTGGCAAATACGCCGGGGTGGCTGGTATGGTGAATATATTGCACGGCTTGGGCTTGAGATTGCTAGCCTTGGGTCATCACACCCCATTTATGGTACGTGTAGTTCGGAAACATCGAAAAATCTTTCTATTGTTTAGGATATCTTTCTGTTACTTAAAATATTGATCATGATTGATGATCATATTCTAAAAAATTGTAATATTTTTTGTCTTATTGCATTTGATATTTATGGATATTGAATATTTATAATTGATATTTATGGATATGAATATTTATAATTGATATACAGGGTGCTTCAGACCACCCGTACCACCCGTATCATCCGTACCACCCATTTAAAAACTAGAGAAGTGGTTATTTCAAAAAAGTAAAAACATTTTCTTTATAAAAATTGGGTGCGCTCTATCGAATGGTGATTTTTTCAACTTCTGGTTCCGGCCGGAAATAGGCGATTCAGACCGGAAATGCATTTTTTTAAATGGAACCCCCTATTTTTCATTGCATATTCTTGTAGCTTACCTCGAGAGCTTTCCAAAACACTGTAACAAATTATTTTTCCATGAAGTACTTTTCGAGTTATGAGGCTTGAAATCATTTCTTAATTTTACATAAACCATAAAATATCTTGTAAAATATTCATTTTTCGATTATCTTACCTTAATACTTTTATATACAAAATAATGAGAGGAATTAATTGGTGTAAAGAAAACATAGAGTTGTTTTTAAGAAAAAATATGGAATTGTTAATTGCAAATTACATATTTGTTCTTAGAAACAACTATGTGTTTTCTTTACATCAATTGATTCCTCTCATTATTTTATACATAAAAGTATTAAGGTAAGATAATCGAAAAATGAATATTTTACAAGATATTTTATGGTTTATGTAAAATTAAAAAATGATTTCAAGCCTCATAACTCGAAGAGCACTTCATGGAAAAATAATTTATTATAGTGTTTTGAAAAGCTCTCGAGATAAGCTACAAGAATATGCAATGAAAAATAGGAGGTTCCATTTAAAAAAATGCACTTCCGGTCTGAATCGCCTATTTCCGACCGGAACCAGAAGTTGAAAATATCACCATTTGATAGAACGCACCTGATTTATAATGAAAATGTTTTTACTTTTTTGAAATAACCACTTCTCTAGTTTTTAAATGGTACTGGTGGTCTGAACACTCTGTATTTATAATTTGATGAATATTTTATTCCTTTTCATACATTTTTTTCGAGTAATGAGCTTTAGTCAAGAATTAGAGCTTTAGTACAAGAATTTTTAGAATTAATTCATTTCTACACGGTAAAAAACATTTTGTATTTCTGTTAAAATTTTCTCGTGTAAAAATTTTTGTGTTAAATTTTTAACATACTTCTATGTTAATGTAACATATTATTGTTGGATTATTTTGACATTTCTGTGTTGAGTTAGTATTCACCGTTTTCTAAGAGTTAAAACAACACAATTAATATGTAAATGCAATTTTGATAGAATTTTTGATGAAATGGAATTTTTGATGAAATATGTTACATGTTAAAATTAACAGATAAATTGTGTTATTTTTCTCTCTATAACAGTTTGCATATGTTAAATCGACATATCTCTTATGTTATTTATCGTAAAAATGTAAAAATAACATTTTCTTTTAATTAAATTTAACATTATAAATATATTAGTTTAATAAATTTTATTTCCAGATAAAGTTTAAGTGTTACACTTTTGTGTTAATTTTTAAACATATTATTTGTGTTATTTATTTACATACTTGCCTTCTGTTAAATTAACATTAAAATTAGAGTGGATAAATTGAGACATGTGAAATATGTTAAATTTAACGCAAAATTTTTTACTGTGTACAAAATTGTTGAATAATGCAGTCTGTATAAATTTTTTCATGACATAGAATGATATTAAGATACATATTATCTAATTGATAAAGGTTTATTTTTTCTTTGAAAAAAAACTATCTTTAATCCAAACATGATAAGAGTATTAGATCCACGAGAGTTTGATGAGATTATTAATTCATAGTATGCTAATGGATTAAATCACAATTATAATCGTTTATGATTAGCATATTGGACCGGCACACAACTACCGGGACTCGGCGATGGCTCGCCAAGCGATCCGCGGCGCCGGATATGAGATTGCTCTGGGTGCCATGCCCAAGTCAATTGGCCCGTTGACCTTTGTTTTCACAGGCAGTGGTAACGTCAGCCAAGGAGGCCAGGAGGTCTTCCAAGAGCTGCCTCACGAATACGTGCCGCCCGAAATGCTGCGGAAAGTCGCCGAGCATGGTGGTACATATCGCTTTAGCAATCTTGCAATCATTACTAACTAGATTTCGAGTCAAAACCTCAAGAGAAGTCTCTTTTCTTGCTTCTTCAAGATTGACACGCGATTTTTAAAGCTCGTTTTTTCAATTGCAAAATGTTACAAGAGTTTTTTTAATTAATAATCCATGTATTGCGCTTGAAACATACAGGGTGTCCCATTTTAAATAATACACTCAAATATCTCCGAAACGGTGCGTTAAATAAAAGAATGTTTCAAACGAAAGTTATATGGTTTGAAGGGGGTTATAAGATGGTGGTAGTGATTTGACCTTGGAGAATCGTTTGAAGATCACATGAAGGTCCTTGTCAATTTCTTAAATGAAACTCCCTATTTTTTATTGCATATTCGTGTAGCTTATCTCGAGGGCTTTCCAAAACACTATAATAAAGTATTTCTTCATTGAGTATTTTTCAAGTTATGAGGCTTGAAATAATTTCTTAATTTTACATAAATCATAAAATATCTCGTAAAATATTCATTTTTCGATCCATCATCTGATGGTCCCCTTCAAGCTATACAACTTTTGTTTGAAACATTTTTTTATTTAACTCACCGTTTCGAAGATATTTGATCGTATTATTTAAAATAGAACACCTTGATAATTATATGATTACTCATAGCTCTATAATAGATATCTCTTTTAATTTCTTTATCATTAGATCTCTTCAAGTCTCGGCAAACAAAAACTGTCCGTGCAAGACTCATGGAATTTGCCTCGAAAATTATCTCATGCATAACAAATATTATCTTCTTATCTATTTATCCTACAAATCGTTTCACATAGATACGACAAAGATATACGGCTGCGAGGTACGACGTAGACATCACTTGGAGAGGAAGGAGGACGGCGGTTTCGATCCCGAAGAGTACGATCAACATCCGGAATTATATCTCTCCACCTTTAGCAAGAAGATAGCACCGTACGCGTCGGTCATCATCAATGGAATATACTGGGCCGTGGATTCACCAAAATTGTTGACAATACCGGACGCAAAGTATCTGCTCAGACCTGCTCATACACCATGGTTGCCGACAAGCGTCGGTGCACCTGCCTTGCCGCACAGGATGCTCGCTATTTGCGACATATCCGCGGATCCTGGCGGCAGCATCGAGTATGTCAGTTTACCTGCGATTTTGAAAAAATATTACAGATTTCTGAAAATTTTGTAAAAGTATACAACAATATTTTATCGTTGAAATTAATAATTACATAATAATATAATAATGTTGTAATTTATAGTTATATTGTATAAATGTAATTAGGCTATATTTTATTGCATGCTTAAAATTAAAAAAAAATTTCAATTATATACACACACACACATATATTTGAATTCATTTGAACTATAATATCTCCGCTGATGGCTAATTAATTATAATTTATATACCTTTATATATTATTAACTTATATACTAATTTTATATATTAATTTATATATATATATATATATATATAAATTAATATAATTAATTATAATATTAATATATATAAAGCAATATACATATATTAATTTTATATATTAATTTATATTTTATATATTAATTTATATTAATTTATATTTTATTTATATTAATTTATATTCTTTCCCAAGGTTCATGAACGAGTGCACGACAATTGATACGCCATTTTGTCTATACGATGCTGATCACAATAAGGATATGAAGTCCTTCAAAGGTCCCGGCGTGCTCGTCTGCTCGATCGACAATATGCCTACGCAACTGCCGAAAGAATCGACGGATTTTTTCGGTAATCTCTTGTATCCGTACGCTTTGGACATCATACGATCGGATGCGAAGAAGCCACTGGAAGAACATAATTTCACTCCAGCGGTGCATGCAGCCATCATGGCGTCCAACGGGAAACTGACGCCCAATTTCCAATATATCCAAGAACTTAGACAGCTAAATCAGCGCAGCAAGCACAAAGATAATAGAGAGCTACAAAGGAATACGGTATATAAGATATACATTCTCCTTATCATTTATTATAATATCTTTCCAATTAAAAAGATCGGACGCCTCTATTTCTGAAATTAACCGATATGTGATGAACAATTTTGCAATAGGTAGTCGTTCTCGGCGCAGGATACGTCTCTGCGCCTTTGGTCGAATATCTGCACAGGGACACGAATGTAAGACTGGTGGTGGCGTCGCAATTGAAGGACGAGGCCGATGTGCTGGCCAATCGATTTCCAGGAGTGGAGCCGGTCTTTCTGAATGTGCTAGATCGACCAGATACCTTACATGACGTGCTGAAGTCGGCGAACGTGGTCGTCTCCCTGTTACCCTATTCGTTGCATCATGTCATCGCTAAAGCTTGCATCGAGACCAAGACTCATTTGGTAACAGCCAGCTATATGAATGATAACGTCAAAGCGCTACATGAAGAGTAAGTAAACAAGATTAAGTAAATAAGATTTTCCGTAAACAAGATTACGTGTCGCAATATCTGATAACCATACGTTTAATGTAAATTTTATAACATGCGTAATAATGAATATTTTTTAATAAAATATTTGGAATTTTACAGCCAATGATGAATAGACTTCTAGCTATTTTTGTACCTTATAATTCGCGAAAAATAATTTAATCTTTTATTTTCTTACTAGAAATAATTTAATCTTTAAATATAATTTAATTTTTAAATAATTTAATCTTTTATTTTCTTACTAGAAATAATTTAATCTTTAAATATAATTTAATTTTTAAATAATTTAATCTTTTATTTTCTTACTAGAGCTCAACAAGCTGATGTCACTGTGCTGAATGAAATCGGATTGGATCCGGGCATCGATCATCTATTGGCGATCGAGTGTTTCGACGACGTGAGACAAGCAGGTGGTAAAATAGAGTCCTTCGTCTCGTGGTGCGGAGGTTTGCCCGCACCCGAATGCTCCTATAATCCTTTGAGATATAAATTCAGTTGGTCTCCACGAGGTGCATTGCTGAATACCTTGGCACCGGCAAAATATCTTCATGCAGGCCAGGTGATAACTCTTTGCAAAATGTTTTATGATCATTTTAGTATCTCTGAAAAAAGATAATTTATCGTAATTATTTTTCGAACAAAATTCATGAGAAAGATCTAAAAAAAATATATTAATACACAGAAAAAAAATAAATATCAAATCAAAACTTATATATTTAAACTAACGCGTTCATTGTTTCATGTATATGCAACAATTTGTAATCTTCTTAGAAGAATTTAATAATTTTAAATTTCAACAATATTATAGTCTTATTTTAATATTGTAATTGTCACCTCAAAAATATATAATTATTTGATTCTACTTTAAGAAAATTATAATCTTTGATTTAAAAATGTTATTTTCTATCTAACATTGTTTCTCTTCTATTCAAGAAAATTAAATCTTAAATCATAAGAATATATTTTTCTTGATTGAACTATATAAAATGACTTCATTCAAGTAAGCAATTATTCGAGCGATTATATTTCTCTTTAATTAACGCAATATAATCTCATTTTAAGATTTTCATATAAAATTAAATAAAATTAATTAAAATTAAATATATTTTCAAAACAAGAACTCTCTAAAAGTGAATCAGTGTATTATTACTGAAAAACGGTAAATAGTCACTGATTACAGCAGTTATAAGTACAGCACTGTAAATCAGTGATATTTTATTGAAAGAATCAGTTAATAATTTTGACTGTTTCAATCAGTAATATTTCTCAATATCAGTAATATTTCTTTCGTTATTATCGGTAATATTAAACTATAATTCATCTCTCTATCTATTTCATATAAAATTAAAAATTTTATTTATATTCACTAAATATTTATTACATTAAAAATTTTATTTTATTTATATTACATGCATATTGAACTTGTTATTTTAAATAGATAACGAACGAATAATTTTCATTAAGTCGCCAGACATTTATTTGTCCGACTTATAAAGATCGATTTAATATCTGAAGCCTCTCTATGAGATTGTATCAGAAATTAAATCGAAGTAATACTTCTAATTTTAATTGTCGCTCTTTGCAAACTTTATATAATTCCTATAATTAAAATTAAATACGAGAGAGATAGTGATCGTAGCGGTAAATGAACGAACTAGCGATTACTGGTTTTACAGTGAAATTTACTGATTTTATAGTGAATTTTACTTTAACTGACCATAATCAGTGAGATATAAGATAAAATAACAAAAAAATAATCGTTTTCACTGAAAATCAGTAAAATCACTCACTGATCCCCAAAACAACTCACTGATTCCCAGAAATCTTATTTTACTGTTTAAATTAGTGATATTTTCTGATTCACTTTTAGAGAGAATGTCCTTTTTTCTGTGTATTCATATTAATATTTCTTCTTTAGGAAGTGGAGATCGCCGGGGGTGGCGATCTGATGTCCGCTGTACAGGAACTAGACTTTCTCCCTGGCTTCGCCCTGGAAGGTTTCCCCAATCGTGATAGCATCGTGTACAGGGATTACTACGGTTTGCAGAACGCGGATACCGTGCTGCGAGGAACGCTCAGATTCAAGGGCTTCTCGGATACCGTGTTGGGTCTGCAATTGCTCGGCCTGATCGATCCCAATCCAGATCCAATCTTGCATCCGAACGGACCGGACATCACCTGGGTGCGTGCTTCCAATAGCCTGCGTATACGCAGGACGTATCGAAAAGTATCTCTCTTCCAGCAACGAAGAGTAATTCTCTTTTCCAATCGCCGTCATTTCAATTTCCAGCGAATGTTGGTGTGCAACCTGCTTGGTCTAGCGAACAACAATATCTTCTATGAGAATCTGAAGCAGAAATTGGCAGAAAGGGTGAATTCGTGGGAACGTGTCAAGGCCATCGAGGATCTCGGTCTTCTTCAGGAGGACTTGGTCTTGAAACTAAACACTCCTCTCGATACGCTTACGCATTATTTGTCGAAGAAACTCTATTACGAGAAAAACGAACGCGATTTAGTGATATTAAGACATGATATAGGTATACTTTGGCCGGACAGCAGAAGAGAAGCCAGAGGCATCAACTTGGTGCTTTATGGAGACATTGCCGGACACTCTGCAATGGCGCGTACCGTCGGGTATCCCACGGCCATCGCTGTCAAAATGATCCTGGATGGTTCGTAGTCTATCTTTTTAAGATTGTTTAATTTCTCAACTAATAAGAGCTGCTGTTAATCAACTATATTTTTTCTTGCACAAGATAATGATCGAATTGCGATTCTTTGTCAACAAAAAAAAAATATATATATATAAATATCTTCCATCGTATAATCAATAGAATAAGTTTATCTTATAAAAAGTAATTTAAAAAATTTCTTTTTATTAATATAAATTATAATCGCAATCTTTGGAAAAGGATTTTTATTTGATTGATTTAGATATTAATTTAATTCAAAATGTTTAGCGTATTATAATCGAATATTTATCTCTGCAAAATTGTACATTAATATCTGTAAAATCTAATTTTGTTCAGGTGAAATTCAGCAGCGTGGAATGGTGCTACCTTTTACGCCGGATATATATCGACCTATTCTTAATCGGTTGAAAGCTGAAGGCGTAGAATCCTTCGAGTCTTCCAAGTGGTTGTGATTCATTCACAATAAACTGCCATAATTTTCTAACAATCGTGTGTATATAACATATCCTACTGATCCATCAAAAAATTATACATTGTATTCATTTAATATGTAAGTAAAAAAAAATATATATAAATAGTTTATATTTTTTATTTATATTATGACAAAAATATATAAGCTAAATAGTTTAGAAATTTTAGTTACAAATACTAAACAAAATATGTGTGCAATAATTTTTTTTTATTTTCCATTCTCTATCTACATACTAAATCAAAAACATTTGCTATTTTAAAACTCTTTCTTTCTCTCTTTCGCATTAATAAGCATTTTAATGGAAAAATTGGGAAGACAGGAGATTTTTAATTTGATATATTTAACATTTATTGATATTACCACCTCAGTGTGGAAAATGGCTAACAATACAATGATATCTCGCTTATTGCAATCTTTTTTTTTATCGCAGTAATTCTATAATCGCCTTAAGATATAATTAGAATGATAACACAGGAACACTCTTCGCCTCTATCCGTTAGAATTTGATTGGAAATGAATCGAGTTTTATGCGTTGGAACAATCGGAAACTTGCAACGAGTCTGCACCGGTAAAGGAATTAAGCTGCAGCCGTGATTTGCACATGTCCAATATCACACGTCTACGTCACACGATTAGTTGATTTGTGTGACGAATTCAATCACGCTTTGCAAGAATTCGATAAATCCAGTAACGATGATTGGCGTTATTCACTGCTGACATTTTAATCTGCAAAATTTGTGTCGACTAAACAAGAGTATTCAAAATATGATAACAAATTTAATTAACAAATAATTAACATACATATGCATACATACATGTATATATATATATACATGTATAAATTTAAAAAATTTACACATACATTAAATATAAATTTATATAATTTATATAGTTTATATAATTTTAATTTATATAATTATATAAATTAAAAAATATACATAAGTAAAAAATTGGAATTTTTATAATACTCAATGAAGAAAAAATTATGAATGTCATTAATTTTCGATTGATATTTTTTTAACGTGAATAATTACGTAAAATATGTATGTATTCTTATGTGATTTTTTTTTCATTTAAAAGCAGTGACTAGTTTAAATTCGACATCGGTCTTTAAGTTTTGGCCTTGTGCGTGACATATAATTTGATGTGTTTGCTCCTCGTTTCTAAAACTAAAATTAAAACTAAAAACGCTGCAAACTTCGAATTACCGTGTTTTGTATTATACTAAAACCTATTACTATCACAATGGTGGTTACAATAATTTCTAATCGGCCTTTGTGTATATCTGAAAAATTACTAAGACGATCGTAATTTTTATAAAGTATTTACGAGGGTCTTTTAAAACGCACACTTTTTTTCTCTTCTAAATATTTAATCGAAATTAAAACACGGGTATAAAGAGATGCAGTTTAATTAAATAACTTTTAAAAGTCCTCATAAAAAAGAGATAATATTAATTTTCAAAATCTTACGAAAGTAAAATCTGTGCAAGCGCGTGCTGTTTGTTTATATGTGTGTGTATGTGTGTGTGTGTGTGTGTGTGTGTGTGCGTGTGTGTGTAAAATTACATTTGTTTTAGATAAAAATAAAGCATTGATAGTAGTAAAGATTTGAACAATTCGTTAAAGTGTCCCGAAAAAGAAACCACCCTCTCCTACGCTCGTAATCTTTAACTAGAGATTATCTATCGATGTCATTAATTAGAAACTATATATGATGATTTACAGTTGGCAGTATGAGACAATATAATTAACGCATTCTGCATAATCGCTATGTAGTATAATGTATTTATCACTATAGCAATAGATCCGAGCCTCAAGCAGGATCTCCGCTAAAATCGATCATAAATCTCTAACTGTGAGACTTCACCATAAAAAAGTGCTTCCAAGCTCAACAATTGTATCATCTCTAATATATAAGTGATATTACGTAACAATTTTAACTATTGTAATAAACTGTGACATCTTTTTCACGAGCAATATTAGTCTATTATTTGGGAGCCGTTCAAATATTTCGAGTTTCCAATGTATTTCTACATTCGAATAATCAAAATGAAAATTTCTTGCCAGTATTCTTGTATTATTCGATAAAAATATATACTCAATAAAAATACAATGAATACTAGAAAACATTTGGAGATAATGCAATCGAATAATTTATACAATATATATATATATATATATATATATATATATATATATATAAATTTTATTCGCTCAATCTAATTTATTTTTGAGCGATTTATTAGATCTATTGAGTAATAAATGGAGTATAATTAAATTATAAAGAGATGATATTAACATGTAATTATAGGATAATATAATCATATACATAATAATACATAATAATAATATAATCATATACAGGATGTTTCAGATCACCCATTTAAAAACTAGAGAAGTGGTTATTTCAAAAAAGTAAAAAACATTTTCATTATAAATCAGGTGCGCTCTATCAAATGGTGATATTTTCAACTTCTAGTTCCGGCTGGAAATAGGTGATTCAGACCCGAAGTGCATTTTTTTAAATGGAACCCCCTATTTTTCATTATATATTCTTGTAGCTTACCTCGAGAGCTTTCCAAAACACTGTAACAAATTATTTTTCCATGAAGTACTTTTCGAGTTATGAGGCTTGAAATCATTTTTTAATTTTACATAAACCATAAAATATCTTGTAAAATATTCATTTTTCGATTATCTTACCTTAATACTTTTATGTACAAAATAATGAGAGGAATCAATTGGTGTAAAGAAAACATAGAGTTGTTTTTAAGAAAAAATATGGAATTGTTAATTGCAAATTACATATTTTTTCTTAGAAACAACTATGTGTTTTCTTTACATCAATTGATTCCTCTCATTGTACATAAAAGTATTAAGGTAAGATAATCGAAAAATGAATATTTTACAAGATATTTTATAGTTTATGTAAAATTAAGAAATGATTTCAAGCCTCATAAGTCAAAAAGTACTTCATGGAAAAATAATTTATTATAGTGTTTTGGAAAGCTCTCGAGGTAAGCTACAAGAATATGCAATGAAAAATAGGGGGTTCCATTTAAAAAAATGCATTTCCGGTCTGAATCGCCTATTTCAGGCCGGAACCAGAAGTTGAAAAAATCACCATTCGATAGAGCGCACCCGATTTATAAAGAAAATGTTTTTACTTTTTTGAAATAACCACTTCTCTAGTTTTTAAATGGGTGATACGGGTGGTTTGAAACACCTTGTATATATTGTGCAACAATACAAATATATGCAAGTTTAATTAATGAACATAATAATCAATGTGTAGATTCGAAGGTTGAAATAATTTGCTCGAATATCGATGGCTCTGTAAATCCTGTTGACTATTTTATGCGCATTTATGTATGACTATCGCACATTTACGGGTTGGAGATTGGTGGCCGCGCCGCGCTTGCTAAAAGTGTTCCTCGCTTAGTGATTGATAATGTCTAATCATAATATAATACTTCGACAATATATTTAAGTTTAAAGTCACGCAAGAGTTTTACAATCGTACGATAAATCTAAACGTTAATGAATTGACTAGGTTGCTTTTCAGCTAGATTGTTAGCTATAGCTCTCCTCATTTTTCCCCTTCTTCTTTCTATCTTTCGGAGGATTATCGCAATTGATTCAATTTGCTATACGGAGTCGCGTCCGTTCACTGGCCAATCATTCCCGACAATCGAAGGCCAATCTCAAACGTATCCTCCAAATGAAATATCAGCCGTATATTAATTAAAGATTTACGTTTGACGTTTGACGTATCTTTGTTAAGACGCACGCAGTCGGTGATATGACATTCTCTTTATAGAATATTTTATATTATATTAATATCGCGGCAAAATTTCCTGGAGTTATATCCTTTTCTACCGCTTTTATGTGTCATCTCGCTCTCTAATCCTTATATTTCCTTGACAACTGATCTAACATAATTCAACATTTTTTTCATACACGTGCAACATTGTTCCGTAATTGAAAACTGAAGAGTATTGTATAATATAAGAGTGACAGAATGTATATAAGAAACATTTACACTCTGTGATATATTTTAAAGAGAAGCAAAAAAATGATATTTAATCAATATCTCTAAATAATTTATTCCGATAATTTATCCTTAACGTATATCCAGCGTTTGATCATTTTTATCTTTCCAGGCAACATTGTGACAATTTATCTCAAGAATTTATAACGTCTTGTAAGTACGTATAATGTCGGATACATCATTTGGAAGCGAGCATATTTTAAATATTCTGCTTTGTGTAACGTTTTGTCTTTCTCGGTTCGTAATTTACAAAGAGAGAGAGAAAGAGAGAGGCGTCTTTTTAATATTAATTATTAAATATCAAGCAATGCGAAATATCAATTGTATTCAAATCAAAAATCTGTGCATATCAATTTTTGTAGGCAATAGTAGCAATCGTCCTATTATTTTTATGCTTTATAAGTATTTTTTTAGGAATTTATTAATTAAGATTTTCTTCTTTTTTTTCATTAGATTGCAATCGGCAAAAGTTACTGATTATCACACGCAATAGATGCGTAATAGAAACGCTTTTAGAGAGCTCGAATATCGCCTCGCGCGCGAAGGATAACAAAACTTTATAAAAAATATACGATATTCCGTGTTTGTACAATTTATGCGCGTACAGGATATTATATTCCTTCACAATGAAAAATACGTACAAAAACAAAGGGAAATGTCAATTTTATCCCGATGTTTGTGCTCGCGCGATTCAATTAGGTCTGGAATAATAGTGTGCGAATAATAGCAAAAGTCCATTCGAAAAGTTCAGCTTTCAAAATTTCAAAATATTTAGTCATTTTACAGAGTTTTCAAGTTACGTAACAAATTTTACAGCGCACTTGATTAATGCGCTTGGCAGATTTGACACAAGTGTAGGTATTTCCGAAAAATGTCTTCGATTATACATATCTTCGTAACGCAATATATGTATAAATTTACATTAACGAGAGACTGTAGGAAGATATATATAATAAATATGTATATCGCTATCTTCGAGATGGAACGAATAATGCGATCCTGTCATCCAATCATCTTTCGCATTGATATCCGAATATTATCAACAAGATTACACCCATCGATTATACAGGGTGTTTTAGACGACTTATATCACCCATTTAACAAAAACTAGAGAAATGGTTATTTAAAAAAAGTAAAAACATTTTCATTATAAATCAGGTGCGCTCTATCAAATGGTGATATTTTCAACTTCTGATTCCGGCCGGAAATAGGCGTTTCAGACCCGAAGTGCATTTTTTTAAATGGAACCCTCTATTTTTCATCGCATATTCTTGTAGCTCGAGAGCTTTCCAAAACACTATAATAAATTATTTTTCCATGAAGTACTTTTCGAGTTATGAAGCTTGAAATCATTTTTTAATTTTACATAAACCATAAAATATCTTGTAAAATATTCATTTTTCGATTTTCTTACCTTAATACTTTTATGTACAAAATAATGAGAGAAATCAATTGGTGTAAAGAAAATATACAGTTGTTTTTAAGAAAAAATATGGAATTGTTAATTGCAAATTACATATTTGTTCTTAGAAACAACTATGTGTTTTCTTTACATCAATTGATTCCTCTCATTATTTTGTACATAAAAGTATTAAGGTAAGATAATCGAAAAATGAATATTTTATGGTTTATGTAAAATTGAAAAAATTTCAAGCCTCATAACTCGAAAAGTACTTTATGAAAAAATAATTTATTATAGTGTTTTGGAAAGCTCTCGAGGTAAGCTACAAGAATATGCGATGAAAAATAGGGGATTCCATTTAAAAAAATGCACTTCGGGTCTGAATCACCTATTTCCGGCCGGAACCAGAAGTTGAAAATATCACCATTCGATAGAGCGCACCCAATTTATAGAGAAAATGTTTTTACTTTTTTGAAATAACCACTTCTCCAGTTTTTAAATGGATGATACGAGTGGTCTGAAACACCCTGTACATCACTTAAAATTCGAAGATATGATATACGTTCGTATATCCTAAGAAATATAAATCTTCTGTCAGTGCTCGACCAGTTTTCCCGGCGTTAATTGCAGCAGTTTTGCACTGTTTATTCATCGCGTATATTAATATAGCATTAAATGCTAATAGTTTTCAATTTAATTAATTACATCATTCTCTCGAGTTTATATAGCGGTCATTAATATGGCAATGCTCACAGAATACCACTTAAACTTTCGATATAAAAGCATTCTGTGTGATCGATTTGGAATTAAACAATTTTTTTCCAACGGATTAACACTCGCGCGCTTCTAATTGGAAGATCGCTACTTGTGTAGATTACCTGCTGTTTCATTTGCAATCTTTCTGTAAGCGTTTGCAAATTAATGGCCGGCATTGTACGTATATCTTTATTCCAGGTTTGCTTTTTCTGACGTTTGGTAATCATAGAATTATTTAGCTTTCGCTAAATACGATCGCGAACTCGAAATGTGGTATGTAACATATATACAGGGTGAGTTTTATTTCGTGTGTCAAACTTTTTATCACGACGAGAGATTATCGACTGCAATTATAATAAATTGATCGATGACACAGATGTTAATTATTTGGATCGGCCGTATCGATTCATATATGATATACACAAATTAAAAGGTGAATCAAATTATATGGTATGGATTTATTATTATTATTATTAAAGCTACGTATTATTATTATTATTATTATTATTATATATTATTATTATTATATATTTATTATTATTAAGGATGTATTTCTTATAGAACTAGAATTGTGTAATTTTATTTTAAGAAGGAAGAAAATTTTTTGCTGCATACTTTTAACGTATAAATCAATAATAAAAATTTATGAGTCATAAAAATAAATGCGGATTTTGAAATAAAGCTTAACATAAAAAAAAGTTAAAGTGTTAAACTTGAAAACTGAATTTTTAAATATGTATTTCTACTGCTTTAATATATCGAATATGTATACGTAGCGTTAATAATAATAATAATAATAATAAATATAATAATATATATATTTAATAATAATAATAATAATACGTAGCTCTAATAATAATAATAACAATAATAATAATAAATCCATACCACGTAATTTGGTTGAACTTTTAACTTGTTCATATTATATTATATAAAGTATGCAGCAAAAAATTTTCTTCCTTCTTAAAATAAAATTACACAATTGTTCTATAAGAAATACATTCTTAATAATAATAATAAAATTACACAATTAATAATAAATAAAATTACACAATTGTTCCATAAGAAATATATTCTTAATAATAATAATAATAAGTATGCAGCACAAAATTTTCTTCCTTCTTAAAATAAAATTACACAATTGTTCTATAAGAAATACATTCTTAATAATAATAATAAAATTACACAATTAATAATAAATAAAATTACACAATTGTTCCATAAGAAATATATTCTTAATAATAATAATAATAATAATAATAATAATATTAATAATAATAATAATAATATTTAGCTTTAATAATAATAATAATAAATTCATATCATATAATTTGATTCACCTTTTAATTTGTACATATTATATACGGTCGATCCAAATAACTGACATTTGTGTGCCGATCAATTTATTATAATTGTAGTCGATAATCTCTCGTATGATGAAAAAGTTTGACGCAGGAAATAAAACTCACCCTGTACATAGAAGTATCTAAGAGAATCGTGTGTAAAGAGAATCGCAAGAAATCCTAAAAAAAAAAAAATAGAAAGAAAAGTAACTGTTTCCTACGAAAATTTAAATAGTGTTTTACAAAAAATCTTTTCGTGTCTTTATAAATTTCCAAGAGAGATATTCGAGTGTTCTGTTTTCCAGTGACTTAGTCCTATGTACGCGAATCCCTGTCTTATACAGATCCATTATAACTCAATCTAGTAACGTTATTCAGCGTTCGATTGGAAACCGCAATTTCGTTATTAATCGTTGTTATAGAAACGCCAGACGTGGCTTAGCAACGCTCGCGTATTCCTGATCCCCGTGAAAGCTAGTGGAAGGCCCTCAGCAACGAGATCTCTTCCTCGATGGCAGATTAAATACACTTGACATGTGCGAGCTCGAACAAGCTGATAATTCACGAGCGATCAGATTTCAACGATGATCAACGACGGTTCACCTGCCTGATGCGAAATAACGAGAACGTAGGATAATTGCAGGAAAAAGGTACATGTGATTTGTGAATTGTATGGGGTATTTTTTTGGAAAATAATGCAATTTTCCCAAAAATGTACGATCGTAAAATGCCAATTTCTCTACTCGTGCGTTTCCTCTTCCACTTTTGTCTTCTTTTTTTAGTCGCGAATTTATCTTAACTATGTAAACCGCACTATATTATTATATCTGTTTACTTAGATAACCGCTAACTACAGTAGTAGCTCTTTTGGTGTTTCATTGTAATCGATTTTTTTTTTTTTGATAATTAATAATTGCCACTCTCTCGGGCTGCTAGTCTGACATATGCTCGCACGCTCATACGCCTACGACTCGCAATAACGGATACATTAGAAAATCGATGCTTCTCACGCACGTACACCTACAATAAGTTACACACTATGAACGCTTATAAGGAGCCCGCAAGCGATCAATATTTCTTATCAGTGGTTTAGTACTGACATTATGATGAATGTGATAAATATCGCAATTACTCAATGCAAGAAAAATATCGAGAGAGAAATTAGAGATTGATAATACCAAGATGTACTTTTCGATAAAAACCTCGTTTACCATAATAATATTCTGTCGCGACAAATCGAGATATAAAATCAGGTGTAAAACAAGATTGTTATTAAGAATTTCTATTAATAAGTAAAAATAATTTTAAATAAAAATAATAATTATAAAATAAATATAATTATAATTAAGAATTATATAATTAATAATTATAATATAATTAATAATTATAATATAATTAATAATTATAATATAATTAATAATTATAATTATTAAATATAATATTATTATAAAATAATAATTATAAAAAATAATAAAATAAAAATTATAAATAAAAATATGTATCGCAATATAGATTTATATTGTAAAAATTGAGCATATGACACACACACACACACACACACACACACACACACAAAATTGTCAATAAGTATTGAACGCTTGCGTGCAGCCCGTTAGGATCAATTGAATCTAGAAAAGGACGTATAATAAGGTATCAATCTACGAACCTACTAACAAAAAATACGTACGTATGATATCTATAATCGTCAACGATCGTGCATAATTTCGTTAACAATTTAGTCGAGAGAAATCGACGCGTCATCACGTCGAAACTATAATCATGTACCGTGCCTCGCCGTATATTTATGAAACATAATCGCCAAGATCACGCGATCATGATAAGTAATTGCAAAACTTCGCATAATATAAAGAGATTAGCGGATTTATTAAACAATTACACGGAACGTCTCGGAACAAAGTAATAGATGCTAAAAGTCAATCCGCACATATTACATTATATTACGGAAACTCCTTAAATAAAATAAATAATTTACTAAAAATGATAATTAATATTAATAATAATTATAATTTATATTATAAAATTTTTAATATTAATAATTTAATATTAATAATAGTTATAATTTATATTATAAAATTTTTAATATTAATAATTTAATATTAAAATATTAATATTTTAATATTAAATTATAATTTTATTAATATTAAATTACAACTTTATTAATATTAAAATATTAATATTTTAATATTAAAAATTTTTAACATTAATAATAATTATAATTTATATTATAAAATTTTTTGAATAAAGTTTCTTTTTTTAAACGTAGAGCAACCTACAATAGGATTCATGTTAATTTCTTGACACGGGAGATTTTTTTTATACGATCGCATGAATTATTGGGAGAAGATATTTGAAGTATGAGACGAGAGAAGATGCGTATTTAAAATTGAGTCGCATGATCACGTCGTTTCCGGCAACGCAAAGTTACGCAATCGATTCGTTAATCTCCGACCTTAACACCTATTGTACGAGCAGAATTGTACAGATAATGCAAACGTCTAAAGACATTGAATGCGACATTTCCTAGATGCTCTACAAATATCTTTTTGGCATTTATATCAATTTATGTGATCCTTGTTTTCCTATCGCATTTCAGATTCACAGCCACGCGTTGCATTTTACCACCATTTTTATCGCCATCGTCATCGCCGTTGTTATCCCACGATTCCACAACGCTATGATTTGATACTATGATAATAGATTTCTCGATCGCAGGATCTCTTCGAGTCGGTTATAGAAGAAGATACGCGCGTATCTTGTTTGAATTCTCGCGCGATATCTTTTTATTACTTAATTATTTTCGAGATTATCTTTTTTAGACGCCGTTCCTCGTATTTAATTATGAAGGAGAGCCTAGAGATTTATATTTGCTTATTAATGTTATACGATCTTAGATTGAAGGTAACTCTTTAGATTGCGTAACTCCGCTTAATTCTTGCCAAAAATTGACGCCAAGTGTCGATTGCCGAAATATCAAGATTTCGCGTCGCAGAATCGTCGCATTTTTCCGCAAGATTGTCTCGATGGTGAAGCGGCGGCGGTCTCATGATATTTCGCGTGTTATCTTCAAAGCGGCTTTCTTGAGCCTTCACTAAGCCTCCATTGATCTGCGAGAATAAGGAAGGATATGTTGCTTCGTATTCTCATATTGCGACGTTTTATAGAAGAAAGGGACAACAATGTGTCCATTTTCCGATTTCACAGACTTAGACCTTGATTCCTATTCTATCTCACAAAGAGCCGTGTTATCGCGTAGCCCTAAAAAAAAGAGAATTTTTTTTAAATTTTTCAATCAAAAAGACTTCACGAAATCGATAAAATGAATTTTGAAAAGAAAATAGTAGAATATTGCAGACTAAAATTTTGCCGAATTAAAATTGTGAGAATAAAAATTGGAAATTCGTTTCTTATTAATAACTATATTTTGTTTTCACATACGAGTTTAAAGTTTGATGTTTAGAATTGATAAAATAAAAAATAAATAATAATAAAGATAAAAGGAAAATTTAGCAAGAAGTTTCGTTTTCTCTTTCTCTCAACAAATCCTGTCGAGGAGAACCGCTCCCAATAGAATTGATGCGCTCCATCATCTTGTAACTACTCCAATATTCTCGATTTTCACAGGAACTATATTCGAGAAGTACCTATTCTCGCACTGAGAAAAATCGTTTGATTGTAACAAGACATATATGATTGAAAGCATTTTGGTTAAATCAAACAAGAATTTCTAATTATCGTGATAAGACTCGATTTTTTTATAACTAGAACGTTTAATAGATTTTACTATAAGGATTTGGTTAGTATTTTCTGATTGGGTCTATAACATTTCTTGTTACATTAATTTTTTTGCTTGCTTCTTAACTTAACTCGTATTCAATATTTGCCATGAAATGTATATAAAGAATTAGTATTAACATTAAATCCAAATATATTTTTTTTCTCTTACGAGCAGTAGTGCCAGAAAGAGAACGCTAGCTTCTGATTGTGTGTGTTTGAGTTGCAATCCTCTTCTTGCATTACTGTTTATCAGTTTAATTTCTAACAAACTGAATTAAAAATAATTTATTCAATAATCTGGATTGAATTTATGCAATAATCTTGTCGGAATTCAAAATATTAAACAGACTTTTGAGATTGACATGGAAAAAATTTTAGACGATTTGGTACTGGCGAGTTTAGTATTATTAACCAGAAAATTTGGTAAATTTAACAGGAAGAAATTAATCAGATTCATCTGGTAATTCCTACAAGAATTCTGGTTTGTTCATTTTCCAACAGATATATTGGTTGAATCTACCAGAATTTTAATTAATGCAACCAGATTTTTTCTCAGTGTAGTATTAACATTAAATCCAAAGTATATTTTTTTTCTCTTACGAGCAATAGTGCCAGAAAGAGGACGCTAGCTTCTGATTGTGTGTGTTTGAGTTGCATCCTCTCTTGCGTTGCTGTTTATCAGTTTAATTTTTAACAAACTGAATTTAAAATAATTTATTCAATAATCTGGATTGAATTTATGCAATAATCTTGTCGGAATTCAAAATATTAAACAGACTTTTGAGATTAGATGGAAAAAATTTTAGACGACTTGGTACTGGCGAGTTTAGTATTATTAACCAGAAAATTTGGTAAATTTAACAGGAAGAAATTAATCAGATTTATCTGATAATTCCTACAAGAATTCTGGTTCGTTCATTTTCCAACAGACATACTGGTTGAATCTACCAGAATTTTAATTAATGCAACCAAATTTTTTTCTCAGTGCGATCTCGTTCGAGTATCGGGAATTCTAGAGTGCTTCTAGAGAAATTCACCTTCAACAAAAGAGCGGCGCCTCCGGTTGGTTCCACCAGTGAGCGGCTAGGAGCAGATAGAGTTCCTGGTCCTGGACGGTGTACCCGGGTGGCGGTTGGGAGGGCAAGGGCGGCGGGATAGGCGGCAGCAGGGAATAGGATGGCGGTGGCGGCGACGGGGATAGGGATTGCGAGAAGGTTGTCGTCGAGAGCGGCGTCGGCGGCGTCGTATTGCTAACCGTTGTTGCTGGAGGCTCGTCCTTAGCCGGAGATCAAAGCGCGCAGTCGAACATTGCCAGCGATCGTGTGATCACGTCGTCCTGTATGTAAAGTTTCTCATGTGAGAAGAACAAGATTCTACTTTCAAGAGTTTCAACTCGTGCCAAGTATTCGCGCAACAAGGACGAGGAAAATCTAGACATCTCGTGTAGAATATTATTATAGCATCGCGACGAAAATACTGAACAAGTTCGCGCAATCCATAAACATCGATCAATCCCTGGCGCTCTTTTGTTCATTTATACAAGCGCGATACATGCTTGTCGTAAAATGTATTACAAAATCGTGCATTTATTTCAGAGATTGTATTTCTCTATTTCGCGAAAAACGAATGTAGATGATAAATATTGTACGATAAATTTTTATGATGTGTGAACGAATGCTTCAATCGAGAAATCAAATTCGACATTTTTATTCTTTAATATCAAATAATTCTGTCAAATTAATCTTCGTATTAATTAATTTAAAAAATATACAGGGTGTCCCAGACTTAACGAATCAGCCGTTAATAGTAGATTCCTGAGATCATTTGGAAACGAAAATCTTAATACCAAAATGTTGAGAAAGATGTAGTTTCGGCGCTACAAAAGATTGAAGATCACCAATCGGCGCGTTTTCCTATGCTGAGGGTCATAGCGCATTAACGGACCCTCGTACAGCGCAGTTGTGTTTTCCATGCGACAGTAGTCAGTAGTTTGGACATTTTTATGAAGTCTTCCTCAACATTTTGGTATTAAAATTTTCGTCTTCAAATGATCTCAGGAATTTACCATCAACGGCTGATTCGTTAAGTCTGGGACACCCTGTATATATAATAGAATAATAATTCTCGATGTTGAGTGAACGAATTTGATTTCAACAATAACGATAATTAATTATCAAGATGTACAACACGGAAAAAGTTATAAACTTTTGATCCTCTCGCAGGAGGGATTTGTTTCAAAACTGGTTAAAGTACACTGTAGCTAAAAGAAACACCCCACAGATCTAGGACATATTGTACGTCCCGAAGAACTTAGCGTTCATTTACGAAGGGAATACTTACACAGGGTGTCCCAGATTTTTCCATTTAACTAAGCTCGAGTTATTATTAAAATGTAAATAGCGGTCCGTTGTGACGAGAAGCAAGCTTATGCGAAATGCTGAATAAAGGTCGCTCGTAAATGAGCGAAAGAATAGAGTTAGAGAGGAAAAGCGACACTTGGGACAACTCGTCTACCTATGCTTTTCCACTCGATCGTTCGCAGTTGTTCACTGGTCAGGTGGGACGCGTACCTTCAAACAACTTTCGATAAACTCCTCGATCGTGATAACACCGTCCTGGTTGAGATCGAGTTTCTTGAAGACCCTGTCCAGTTGCTCCCTCGCCTTCCTCTCCTCCTCGGCGTGATGTCGCTTGCCCATGAGCTCGTGAACCGCCGTCACGACTTCGCCCAGCTCGCCCCTGGTGATGCAGCCATCGCCGTTTATGTCGTACAGTTTGAAGGTCCATCTCAGTTTTTCGTAGATGCTGCCCCGCAGCAAGGTCGACAGCGTCACGAGGAGATCCTGCAATCCCCGGTATTGTCTTAGAGTTGTTTATCTTAAAGTTGTTTACCGACGTTAAATCCGAAACGCTTTTTCACCGCGCGCTTTCCCTCCTTTTTCTCTATTATTCCGATCAGATAATTTTATCCGGGCGTTGAAATCGCTTTGCGATTTTGCCCAAAGGCGAAATCAGATTTCGCAATTCAGGGAATAATAAGAAATAATTAGAGCGGAAATTAATGTAAAGAGGGCGAGCAACAAAAAGTACTCTCTAAAAGTGAATCAGTGTATTATCACTGAAAAACAGTAAATATTCACTGATTACAGCAGTTATAAGTACAGCACTGTAAATCAGTGATATTTTATTGAAAGAATCAATCAATAATTTTGACTGTTTCAATCAGTAATATTTCTCAATATCAGTAATATTTTTTTCGTTATTGTCGGTAATATTAAATTATAATTCATCTCTCTGTCTATTTCATATAAAATTAAAAATTTTATTTATATTCACTAAATATTTATTATATTAAAAATTTTATTTTATTTATATTACATGCATATTGAACTTGTTATTTTAAATAGATAACGAACGAATAATTTTCATTAAGTCGCCAAACATTTATTTGTCCGACTTATAAAGATCGAATTAATATCTGGAGCCTCTCTATGAGATTGTATCAGAAATTAAATCGAAGTAATACTTCTAATTTTAATTGTCGCTCTTTGCAAACTTTATATAATTCCTATAATTAAAATTAAATACGAGAGAGATAGCGATCGTAGCAGTAAATGAACGAACTAGCGATTACTGGTTTTACAATGAAATTTATTGATTTTACAGTGAATTTTATTTTACCTGACCATAATCAGTGAGATATAAGATAAAATAACAATAAAATAAGCGTTTCCACTGAAAATCAGTAAAATACTCACCGATTCTCAGTGAAATCTTATTTTACTGTTTAAATTAGTAATATTTTCACACTGATTTACTTTTAAAGAATACTCTCCAAAAGTGAATCAGTGTATTATCACTGAAAAACAGTAAATAGTCACTGATTACAGCAGTTATAAGTACAGCACTGTAAATCAGTGATATTTTATTGAAAGAATCAGTTAATAATTTTGACTGTTTCAATCAGTAATATTTCTCAATATCAGTAATATTTCTTTTGTTATTGTCGGTAATATTAAACTATAATTCATCTCTCTGTCTATTTCATATAAAATTAAAAATTTTATTTATATTTACTAAATATTTATTATATTAAAAATTTTATTTTATATATATTACATGCATATTAAACTTGTTATTTTAAATAAATAACGAACGAATAATTTTCATTAAGTCGCCAGACATTTATTTGTTCGACTTATAAAGATCGATTTAATATCTGAAGCCTTTCTATAAGATTGTATCAGAAATTAAATCGAAGTAATACTTCTAATTTTAAATGTCGCTCTTTGCAAACTTTATATAATTCTTATAACTAAAATTAAATACGAGAGAAATAGCGATCGTAGCTGTAAATGAACGAACTAGCGATTACTGGATTTACAGTGAAATTTACTGATTTTACAGTGAATTTTATTTTAACTGACCATAATCAGTGAGATATAAGATAAAATAACAAAAAAATAAACGTTTCCACTGAAAATCAGTAATATACTCACTGATTCTCAGTGAAATCTTATTTTACTGTTTAAATTAGTGATATTTTCACGGATTTACTTTTAGAGAGAGTAGGGGAATCTAAATATTTTCTCTCTAAAATAAATATTTGTTAACACCGTCCGTGAAATAAAATTGCTCTAAGATTCTAAGAAAAATTGCAGCGCAGGAAGTAGGTTGGAGAGAGAGAGAGAGAGAGACAATTTGATATAAAAATATTACGACACACACATGTAACAAATTACATTTATAATTGCAATCGCGATACGATTACATTTTTGTGCGGAAAATATATTATTTGAACTCTGAAATTGGAACTACCAAGTCGTCGAATTAAATTGAAGTGAAATTGAACGAAATTATGTCACCATGGCTGCAACTCTATTACCACCAGCAGCATACGTAATTACTTTATGTAATCAGAGAAGTGGTCGTAGAGTCATCAAGCGGATGCGCTTACAACATACGAGAGCGCGGTGGCTTCGAGGGAAAGAACATTCGCGTGGAGGACGCGATGGAAATTAATCAAATGGAATTGTTTCCACGTGTCCCGGTTATATCCCAGTTCAGGTCCCACGTGGGCGTATATCGCAAAAGATTCGATGTATCGAATATTACGCTGGCAACCCGCGATAAATCTTGATTCGTGACACTCGCGAGATGACGAATGATCATTGGTGCGCGTTTATCGAATAAAAACGATTAATTATTCGTCCGATAAGCAATATTCACCCGGCGCTCAATTGGCCGGCACATGTTCGTCGCTTGTCAATGGATCGCGTTCGCTCGTTTAGCGTATTCGGAAATTTCCCAATTTCGAAATCTCGTCGGCGAGTTTCACATCGTATCTCTCCTCCCTTGTGTTTCGGCTCGAGCGTCGATATCGACGTGTGACCGCACAGGTGCAAACACAAATATGTGAGAAATGTCCGGATCTCAAATCTGAATTAGAGATATGCGGAATTAAATTGAACGATTGACCGTAATGATGCATTAAATTCGTACAAACTACTTCATGCTTTTAATAATTTATTATTATTACGATTAATATTGAAGCTATTTATTACGAAACTCACGTAAATAAAACACGTGTTCTCTTATATTCCACGAAATATGTTTCTGAATACAAGCAATTAAATGTCAATGGATAAATATGTTTTAATATAAATATTAATTTAAAATAAAAATTAATTTAATTAATATATTTTAATAAATTTAATATTTTTTTTTAATTTTGCGAGTAATCTTGCAGCGTTTCCTAGATGAGTATAATTGTGTGCGATAAAGTTAGGAACTCTCTTAAGACATGCTAAGGAAAAGTTCTTGGGATATGGATGTCAGACGCTGTCATTCATTTAAGATAAACGCAAGAAATCTCCGGATCTCAAATTTGAATTAGAGATATGCGAAATTAAATTAAACGATTGACCGTAATAATGCATTAAATTCGTATACAAACTACTTCATGCTTTTAATAATTTATTATTATTACGATTAATATTGAAGCTATTTATTACGAAACTCACGTAAATAAAACACATGTTCTCTTCATATATTCCACGAGATATGTTTCTGAATACAAGCAATTAAATGTCAATGGATAAATATGTTTTAATATAAATTTTAATTTAAAATAAAAATTAATTTAATTAATATATTTTAAATTTAATATTTTTTTTAAATTTTGCGAGTAATCTTGCAGCGTTTCCTAGATGAGTATAATTGTGTGTGATAAAGTAGGAACTCTCTTAAGACATGCTAAGGAAAAGTTTTTGGGATATGGACGTCGGGCGCTGTCATTCATTTAAGATAAACGCGCGAGAGCATAACATTTAAAATTAATGAAAAGACTATATATTACACGAGAAACTTAATTACCCTGAAGCTGATGGCCCCGTTGCAATTAACGTCGAAGGCCTTGAACACGTAGTGGGCGTAGAGACTGGAGTCTGCAATTCGCATGAGGGGTGGCCATTAACTAATTACGCAAAAACGCGGGCTGTTATTTAATTGGAACTCACTGCCGTGCGGGAAGAATTTCGCGTAAATGTCCTTGAACGAGTCCTCGTGCACCACTCCTTCGGGACACTCCTGGAAGAAGAGGAAGAAAAGATCATGAAAAATGATCATACTCGGTTCCGCGAGCGTTTTATCGGAGGGATTAAGCGACACTCTATACATTATACGCCACCGGCCATTTTCTCGGATGCAACCGGCGATATTTTATGTGCGGTTTGCGAGAGAATATATACATCGGTTGAATATTCGTTCTTCCATCAATCAAGCGCAAAACCACACGGACCGTTTTCGAACTTCGACATATTGGATCGCACAAAATAATTTGTAAAGCTGAAGTATATTTTATATAGGTAACATCTTTATTAATCGGGGCATTTTTGCATATATCGGGACATTTTTGTATACATCGGGTGAGACAATCGAAACAACGAGTGCATATCATTAATCATCTATAAAGATATTTCATGAAGTGTATTTATACAGGGTAGACCATTTTAATCAATACACGCGAATATCTCAGAAACACTGCATTAAATCGAAAAATGTTTCACACAAAAGTTGTATGGCTTGAAGGGGGACATAAGATAGTGCTATTAATTTGACTTTGAAGAGTTACCTGAAGATTACATGAAAGTCATCTCCAACTTTTTAAATGGGACACCCATATATACTTTTGCACATTCTTGTAGCTTGCCTCAAGAGCTTTCCAAAACACTATAATAAAGTATTTTTTCATTAAATATTTTTCGAATTATGAGGCTTGAAATTTTTTAATTTTTTAATTTTACACATAAACCGTAAAATATCTTGTAAAATATTCATTTTTCTATTATCTTACCTTAATATATTTATGCACAAAATAATGTGAGAAATCGATTGGTGTAAAGAAAAAAACAAGAAAATATTTTTAGAAGAAAAAATATGTAATTATTAATTGCAAATTACATATTTTTTCTCCGAAACAATTATGTGTTTTCTTTACACCAATCGATTTCTCTCATTATTTTGTAATGTGTTAAGATAAGATAATCGAAAGATGAATATTTTACAAGATATTTACGGTTTATGTAAAATTAAAAAATTATTTCAAGCCTCATAACTCGAAAAGTACTCAATGAAAATATACTTTGTTATAGTGTTTCGGAAAGCTCTTGAGGCAAGCTATAAGAATATGCAAAAATATATTGAGTGTCCCATTTAAAAAGTTGGAGGTGACCTTCACGTGATCTTCAGATGACTCTTCAAGATCAAATTAATAGCACCATCTTATGTCTCCCTTCAAACCATACAACTTTTGTCTAAAACATTTTTCGATTTAATGCAGTGTTTCCGAAATATTCGCGTGTATTGATTAAAATGGTCTACCTTGTATATCTCATTGAAATTATTTCTATTTTTGTGCAGAAACAAATATAAACAATGAGGATTCCGCACAGGATATCGAAGAACGTTATAGCCGCTTACAGGTAAAATAAAGTGGAAATAACGTAGAATAAACGAAAGTCTCTCCAGTTGCGTAATCTTCCTTTATCATTTTCTCGTCACGTATATTTTATTATTTTGATATCCGTATATTTCTTCACAACAGAATATGCTAGAAAAGCAGTTCTCTCATAAAATAACATGAAATTTTGACAATAAAATCCTGTAACACATGGTACATTAATGCAATAATCCACTCGAGTGGACAGCTTTATAATAAATGTTATTCATTGCGCGAATAATATCGCGTATTTTCTTTTAACATTGTAATCATTTTATTGTAGAAGATTTATTCATGCTACAAAAACAAAACTCCGCAGATGCTCGCCGGAGACGTCGCTATTGCCCCAGGAGCAAGGAAGGACGCTGCGAGCGGAGGACGTCTCCTGGGACGACGGCGTAATCCCCGATTTGAAGATACTGGCGCTTCGAGCAATAGTCTCGGCCTGGAAGGATAATCCTGTTCTGGAGGATCTGCCGACGTGCGTTGACAGAGACGTGCTGCTGGAAACACTGCCGACTGATCTCCCCTTCGAGTTGACGATAACGAGAATCGAGGACGGATTTTATTGGGAACGCGCGGCCAAGGACAGGTGAGATATTGCGTTCTGACGATCTGTCCGATTATGCGAAATATCCTCTCGCAATCGAGGATATTTCGCATACGCACTATCGCGTGAAATATATCACCTGACTTAATTACACATTAATTACGGTCGACGTTAATTGAGCTCCTGTATCTTGTTCCAATCTTATCTCAATTTCTCTTTCTCTCTCTCTCTCTCTTTACCCTCCTTCCCCCCTTTTTTTCTTCTCTTATTTAAATTGGTTGATTTATTTTTGTTATTGGTTATTAATATATACAGGGTGGTTTAAAAGTCTGGAAACGGTCAATTATCTTCGAAAATAGTGGTCCTGTGGGAAAATGTTTCAGACAAAAGTTGTAAGGTTTTAAGTGATGCATTACACAGTAATATTATTATGACGAGATATTGTTGAAGAGTGTTGTTAAGGTAACGTCACCTTCAATTTCTTAAATAGAACCCGCTATTTTTTATTACATATTCTTGTAGCTTATCTCGAGAGCTTTCCAAAACATTATAATAATAACATTATAATAAATTATAAGTTAGTTTTCATTAAGTAATTTTCGAGTTATGAGGCTTGAAATTATTTCTTAATTTTACATGAACCGTAAAAAAATCTTATAAAATATTTATTTTTTGATTATTTTACCTTAATACTTTTATGTACAAAATAATGAGAGAAATCAATTGGTGTAAAGAAAACACATAGTTATTTTTAAGAAAAAATATGTAATTGTTAATTGCAAATTAACAATTACATATTTGCAAACATATTTTTTCTTCGAAACAACTATGTGTTTTCTTTACATCAATTGATTCCTCTCATTATTTTGTACATAAAAGTATTAAGATAATCGAAAAATGAATATTTTCTAGATATTTGATGGTTTATGTAAAATTAAGAAATTATTTCAAGTCTCATCGTCTCAACTCGAAAAGTACTCAATGAAAAAATATTTTATTATAGTGTTTTGAAAAGCTTTCGAGGTAAGTTACAAGAATATGTAATGAAAAATAAGAGGTTTCATTCAAGAAATTTCTCTTAACAAAGTCATAGTAATATTACTGTGTAATGCGTCATTTAAAACCTTACAACTTTTGTCTGAAACATTTTCCCACAGGACCACTATTTTCGGAGATAATTGACCGTTTTCAGACTTCTAAACCACCCTGTATACCAATATATATTAATAATATATATTAATAAATATACTAATACATACAAATAAGTCTTAATTTTTCTTTAATCATTTCATTTTAATTTTTTTGTGAGTTATCCTAAAAAGACACCTGTCTTATTAAAAATATTTTAATTTTGATGAAGGAGGGTATTTTTATTTATTCACAGAAATATGACACAATTAAAATAGTCTTAGAGAATAATTGAATTTAATTGAAGTTACAGAACTGATTTTATTATGGATTTATTGATATTAAAAGCGAATTTAAACAATTTAGCGCGTATGTATATTATTTAATCGTTCTATTTATACAGATGGGAACACAACGATCCGGGCAAATATGGGGATTCATGGCGACGATTATATTGCGAGCGCCACTTAGCCGAATATCTGGAAACTTTGGAAGCGAGCTACTTCGAGGCTCAAAGAGAGGAATGCGAGAAACTAATGACTCTCGTCAAGGACTACATACGTGTCATAAGGCTGCATACTCTCGTGCCTATCAAGTAAGACAAGTTCACTTATCAAATCCTCATCTGATTCTTGTGCTCGAGAAAATAATCAGGATAAACCAAAACAACTGTGTACCCACAGTTGGGAGAAATAGAAATATTAATTTTCCAATAGGCAAGATTTGTCTACCTAAAAACTAACATCTTGAGAAATTTCCCAAAAAGAGAGACTGTGCGCAAATTTTACGGATTCTAATTTTACTCAATACAAGCTTCTATTTAAGATTTTGTTAAATCTTGAGCTTTACGATATATTTAACGCGAATGAAAAATTGACAATTCATTCTAAATTTAATATCATTCCAAATCATTCATCATTCTAAATTTAATATCTCGAAGCAGAGCTACATCCGAGTTTCATTGGAGTCCCAAGTCAAAGCCCAGGTGCCATGAATCTTTTCGCAGGCAACCTTGTTGCTGAAATACAGGTATACGAGAATTTGCTCAAAAATTCCCCAGTGAAAAATTAATCTGTATTTCTGAATCATCGTGTCTCGAATAGCAATGAGAGATATAACAGTAATAAGAGATATCTGTGCATCGACACTCTCTAAAATTGAATCAGTGAAAATATCACTAATTTAAACAGTAAAATAAGATTTCACTGAGAATCAGTGAGTATTTTACGGATTTTCAGTGAAAACGCTTATATTTTTTGTTATTTTATCTTATATCTCACTGATTATGGTCAGTTAAAATAAAATTCACTGTAAAATCAGTAAATTTCACTGTAAAACCAGTAATCACTAGTTCGTTCATTTACAGCTACGATCGCTATCTCTCTGGTATTTAATTTTAATTATAAGAATTATATAAAGTTTGCAAAGAGCGATATTTAAAATTAGAAGTATTACTTTGATTTAATTTCTGATACAATCCCAATAGAAAGGCTTCAGATATTAAATCGATCTTTATAAGCCGGACAAATAAATGTCTAGCGACTTAATGAAAATTATTCGTTCGTTATCTATTTAAAATAACAAGTTCAATATGCATGTGATATAAATAAAATAAAATTTTTAATATAATAAATATTTAGTAAATATAAATAAAATTTTTAATTTTATATGAAATAGACAGAGAGATGAATTATAGTTTAATATTACCGATAATAACGAAAGAAATATTACTGATTGAAACAGTCAAAATTATTAACTAATTCTTTCAATAAAATATCACTGATTTACAGTGCTGTACTTATAACTGCTGTAATCAGTGACTATTTACTGTTTTTCAGTGATAATACACTGATTCACTTTTAGAGAGCGGAGCTTGCGAGCGGACCTTGCATCGCCGGCGAAATCCGCAGTTACGTATTTACGTTGGCCAGGAACATCCGAAAATTATTATTAGAGCCGGTCAGTTTGTCGGCTAAAACTGTAAGTGCTTGCACTTGAAGATCCAGAGGAGTGCGATGGACTCGGGCGTGTAAATATCGCGCGAAAGCGTGGCGGTCGGTTCTATAATTGGCCAGAGTATCTAGGAGGCCAATTATAATCGCACGCGGACATATGCATGTCGTATACATGCGTTGGAAAATTGCAAATATATCGTAGTCGATTAATCTTCCTTTCTATTTGCATCACGAGTAGTTATCGCGATATCGTGAATCAGAGCCTATAAGTTAGCAGTGGCTATTTAAAACTTCATCCTTCAACGCGATCTCCTTCACGTCCATCTCCTCTTAGGTCTGACGAAATGCGAAAAGCTTTTGTTCCGCTTCGAAACAGTACGAGGGATCAGATGGATTGCCCTGTCTCTTTCTTGACAACGCCAATCACTTTACCTAATGGATATAGTTTACTGCTGTGCGAATATTTGCGACTGATTCGTTTGTTTTCCTTCGAAAGAGATCCAATCATTTTGCTCGTGTGCTCCCATCGTTTTCATTTCATTTCGAAAACTCTCTGCATCGCTATTTTTCGGGGAAAAATCTCGAAACCAACACGCCTAAACTCGAAATGAAATATTGTGGCACGGAAAATATTCTTTTTATCCAGGCAAAATACCTTTTTATCTATAACAGACATTGAGAAAAATCGTTTGATTGTAGACAAGACGTATATAATTGAAGGCATTTTGGTTAAATCGAACAAGAATTTCTAGTTATCATAATAAGACTCGATTTTTTATAATTAAAACGTTTAATAGTTTTTATTATAAGGCTTTGATTAGTATTTTCTGGTTGACTCTATAAAATTTCTTGTTACATTAATTTCTTTGCTTGCCACTCTTAACTCGTATTTAATATTTGCCATGAAATGTATATAAAGAACTAGTATTAATATTAAATTCAAAGTATATTCTTTCTCTTACGAGCTGTAGTGCCAGAAAGAGCACGCTAGCTCTCTGATTGTGTGTGTTTGAGCTGCATCCTTTTTGCATCACTGTTTATCAGTTTAATTTCTAACAAACTGAACTTAAAATAATTTATTCGATAATATGGATTGAATTTATGCAATAATCGTGTTGGAATTCAGAATATTAAACAGACTTTTAAGATTAGATGGAAAAAATTTTAGACCACTTGGTGCTGATGAGTTTAGTATTATTAACCAGAAAATTTGGTAAATTTTTGGTAAATTTAACAGTAAGAAATTAATCAGATTCATCTAGTAATTCCTACAAAAATTCTGGTTCGTCCATTTTCCAACAGACATACTGATTGAATCTACTAGAATTTAATTAATGCAACCAGATTTTTTCTCAGTGTAGTATTAACATTAAATCCAAAGTATATTTTTTTCTCTTACGAATAGTAGTGCCAAAAAGAGCACGCTAGCTCTCTGATTGTGTGTATTTGAGCTGCATCCTCTTTTTGCATCACTATTTATCAGTTTAATTTCTAACAAACTGAACTTAAAATAATTTATTCAATAATCTGGATTGAATTTATGCAATAATCGTATTGGAATTCAGAATATTAAACAAACTTTTGAGATTAGATGGAAAAAATTTTAGACGACTTGGTGCTGGTGAATTTAGTATTATTAACCAGAAAATTTGGCAAATTTAACAGCAAGAAATTAATCAGATTCATCTAGTAATTCCTACAAAAATTCTGGTTCGTCCATTTTCCAACAGACATACTGGTTGAATCTACCAGAATTCTAATTAGTGCAACCAGATTTTTTTTTCAGTGAATAAAATCTATTTATGTCTTTCAGGATGTTCTCTGTCGAGGGAAAGATTTCGATTTTTCACGTCTGTAACATTGCCTCCATTCGATCCATTATGCGGCTGGTAACGCGTGTGTAACTATTGAAGGACACGCCTGCGAGTCTGTGCTTGACACGCCAAATTTGTCAAAATCTAAACGTGACGGACTCGCGAGCGAATAAACCTGTTAATGCGTTAAGGATTCTAATTATACACAATGGAATATGCAACGCCGGCAATTTGCTGCGGCCGTTTAACAATTTTAGATCCCAAGCGGAATAAATTTTCACGCGAAATTGCAACACAACGCAGCCAAACTCGTATGTGTGACAGTTGATTCTCGACAGGCTGGCTAACAAACGCTCTTACAAAGTACAAAGTAATTTAAATGCAAGTTTGCGACAAGAGAACGCATAAACGAAACATATAAACATACTCTCTAAAAGTGAATCAATGAAAATATCACTAATTTAAACAGTAAAATAAGATTTCACTGAGAATCAGTGAGTATTTTACTGATTTTCAGTGGAAACGCTTATTTTTTTGTTATTTTATCTTATATCTCACTGATTATGGTCAGTTAAAATAAAATTCACTGTAAAATCAGTCAATTTTACTGTAAATCCAGTAATTGCTAGTTCGTTCATTTACAGCTACGATCGCTATTTCTCTTGTATTTAATTTTAGTTATAAGAATTATATAAAGTTCGCAAAGAACAACATTTAAAATTAGAAGTATTACTTCGATTTAATTTCTGATACAATCTCATAGAGAGACTTCAGATATTAAATCGATCTTTATGAGTCGGACAAATAAATGTCTGGCGACTTAATGAAAATTATTCGTTCGTTATCTATTTAAAATAAACAAGTTCAACATGCATATGGTATAAATAAAATAAAATTTTTAATATAATAAATATTTAGTAAATATAAATAAAATTTTTGATTTTATATGAAATAGATAGAGAGATGAATTATAGTTTAATATTAATAGTTTGACAATAACGAAGGAAGTATTACTGATATTGAGAAATATTACTGATTGAAACAGTCAAAATTATTAACTGATTCTTTCAATAAAATATCACTGATTTACAGTACTGTACTTATAACTGCTGTAATCAGTGTACTTATAACTGCTGTAATCACTTTTAGAGAGTAATTATTAATAAAAATTACATGTAAAAATATATGAAATAAAAATATGTATTTAATTATAAACCACAAAAAAAATAACTAACAGATTTTTTCCGTGTTTTTTTAACATTTCGCGACTAACATTACACACACGCAAAATTTTTAGTACATGTTTGGGAAAGAGACATGGCATTCGGGGTGGTATTTGAAGCGTTTTATAAATACGCATTATAGAAGAATGTTCGCTTCGCCGTCATTTCATTTTTATTTCATTTTCTTATAAGGCCGCATTTATAAAATGTTGCCGAGAAGAGGGGCACTGTTTAAAAAGTATCAAAGGTAAATTTACATAGTTACGGTCGTCGAGTCGGCAGAATAGAGATGGTCTTTTATTGTTACTGAAACGAAGTTGAAATAGGTATGTAATACCTGGGAAGAATTCTCTCCGCGATAGGGCTTGCGAAACTAATCCCGGATAGAACAAGTGAAACGGTTTCGTACTCTCGTACTATTTTCAGAAAAAAAAAATTAATTAACTTTTACATACACGAAGTTTGCAGAGTTTCCATATTATCAACGTGCAAAAAGTGTAGGAATACGAACCATATGAACAATTTTAAAAGTGTATTCTGTAAATTTTAATATTCCGTGATTAAGCTTTATTACAGTGGAAACACACTAAACGTTATCTGTTTCTTTAAAAAAGTTGTTTAAATGAAATAAGAGAGATTTGTAATTAATTTCACTATTTTTGTTCTTTTTTTAACCATTTTCAACATTAAATAATCGGCATATTTTTATGTTTTGATTCTATCAAATCTGTTGAAACATTAATTAAAATTGCATTAGTAAAAACATTAGTAAAAATATCAAAATATGTTTCTTTTTAAAATAACAATTAATAAATATGTTTTTTTTTAAATAACAATTTTTGCCAAAATATTACAATATATGTTTAATGTCCAAAGATTTTATTTGTTTTAGATCCACCGTTTATTCGTCGCGTGTCTCTACCTAATTCTAAGCTTTCAAACTCTAAAAGTAATAAATTAATAATACACTTTCTTTTGAAAGTTTCTGCAATCCATGGCAGTGCATTAATAATTTTAAGGACGCGTCTCTCATTACATGGCGCGTAATGTATGCGTTTTTAATAAGCAAAGTTGCGAGTCAAGGAAGCATTATCGTTCACGAAAGCGACCGCTGCTGGATCCTAGCTCGGAGATAGCAGTCTCATTTAATTAGAAGCCATGAGAAATCTTAAGGAAAGTAATTTTCTCAAATCACGCCGGGCTGCTCCCTTTTTAGAGCAATTCGTAAATCCGCTAGCAAGATTTATCTCCGCTTTTATTTATACTGCGAATAGTGATTTTTTTTATCGCAACATGTTTGAATTTTATTTCCTCCTCTTAATATTTTTTCGCAATTCAGCCAACAACTGTAAACAAAATATATAAAAATGTTATAAAAATGTTTTTCATATATGATATATATAAATAAAAAGGAAACATGTATGAAAAAAGATTCTGTAAGCTCTCAATTATAAAATATTTTTGGTTATTTATAGAAAAGATTTTTTAATTTAATTCAATTTAAATAAATAAAATTATACATATAGTTAATAATTTCATGAAACTATAGAAATTTTGGATGCAATATTTGATAAAAAAAATTAATCAGAAAGAGATAATATTTCCCTCAATTCAAATAAATTAAATAAAAATAAATATTAATAAAAATTTCAGCTTGTACAGAGACATTTCTTTATAAATATATTTATCTCGATTTCTTTAAATAATAAAAATTCCTTTAAGAGTACTTTTTGCGCAAAATATTATTCATGGCAGATGTAATTAATATCTTATATTAATTAATATACGTAAGCCTCTGATATTATTTTTTCAAAGCTCATGGATTCATTATGTGAAATTCTATGCCGTATCAATCTAGTACATCCGACATTATCTCTATCATATATGTGGCAGTTAATATGGCCAGGCATGTGCGTGTTCTTCAATTATTCACTGCAGCTATCATGCGACCGTGTCTCTACATTCGCGATGCATATCTGTATAGCATAATCAATCGTCCAATATTGATCAAAGCCTCAATTCGCTCTAACATTAACTGTCTCGCGAATAAATCGTTGAATAACGACACTCGAACTAATTTTTTGCGTACGTCAAACATTACATATGAGCTTATTGCGTAATGTCCCCGAAGTGTGTAAAATACTTTTTCCCATATTAAAAAATATACCGCTTCTTTTCACCCGCTCCTGTTTGATTAATACCACGAGCATAATATAAAAACTCGGGATATATATAGGTAATAAGCGCATATACAGGGTGGCCCCGAACGTTCCAGCCAGACTTTGAGATCTTATAGGAAATTTAATTCTGAACAAAAAATTTCCTGTAAACATGGGTCGAAAAACTTCCTTAAGAAGTTATCGCTCAAAAACCTCTGATGAAGGAAGAGCAAAAGGTGAAAAGAAAATGAAATTAAAAAAAATGAAACTAAACGAATTTCTTGAAAAACGTCTTTATTCATTTTCTACTATTACGTGCTATTACTAAAATATTAGTTACAAAAAAAAATTATTTTATTTTCATAAAAGAAAAAGATTTTTATTTTTTATTTTTATCGTTTCTTTCAAGAAATTTATTTAGTTCCATTTTCTTTTTATTTCATTTTCTTTTCACCTTTTGCTCTTCCTTTATCAGAGGTTTTTGAGCGATAACTTCTTAAGGAAGCGTTTATCCATGTTTATAGGAAATTTTTTGTTCAGAATTAAATTTCCTATAAGATCTCAAAGTCTGGCTGGAATGTTCGGGGCCACCCTGTATACATAACGGTGGAGGGATTATAAAATGAAGAGTTATTACGAAATTAAAGCTTTTTTTGAATCGCTTCAGTAAGCTCTTTGAAACATCCAATGATATTTTTTAATAATTAGCTAAAAATAATTTTTAAATAAATAAATAAAATTTGTCGTTAAATCTTTGCAATATTGAAGCATTGAGAAAAAAAGTTGTTAACTTGACTAAACCATTCAATTATTATTTTTTTAAATTGAAATATTTAATTATTTAAATTAAATAATACATATTAAATCTAACATCTATATTTAACTTAAATATTTAAATATTTCAATTAAAAAAATATTAATTTAGTCGAACGGTTTGATCAAGTTAACAACATTTTTTCTCAGTGTGTCATGTATTAAAAAAATTTCGTATTATCGCGCTTTGATTATCAAAGATATTCATCGATATTAAAAATTGATTGCTGATGGAATTGCGTTTGCATTATCTGCTTACAGAAAACAGGTAAAGCGAGTTAATGCGGAGAATAGCGAATCTACCTTAGAGGAGGACATCGTGCATCATATTCCCATGGCAATTATACTGCCGCAATTCCCGCATCTCACCGAAATTTACCTCAACTTTGGTATGATCTACATGGACGACGGTTTTGAGTGGCGGGATTTCGAGTAAGTTTCGCGAGCGCGGAGGATAAAGGGAAGATCCCGAGCTCGGGATGCAGGATAATCGATAAGAAACTTATCGCTCCAACAGATTCTCGCTGGAGGATTGCATAAGTTTGGGGGAAGGAATTAAAGCCAGCCCGAAATTGAAGAAATTCAGTTTAACCCGCAGCAACTTGGATCGCCCACGAATCGCCGCTATTCTTCAAGGAATGGTGTCGAACGATAACGTTAGTAAAAAATTTCTTTATTAAGAGATATGAATAGAAATCTGAAATTGGGAAAAATTTCAAATTTTCATAAAATTTATGTGGCTTTCGATTGTCCAAAATTTATCCACATTTACAAAATTTTGTAATTAATAAACAAAAATTCTGGCAATTTTTGGTTGACATTATTTTCAATATTCCTTTGATTAATTGACTAGCGATATTAAGATAATTTATTAATTATCCACATTTGTCCAGATAATCATTTTTGACCCTAAAAAAAATTAAAAATAAATAAAAGAATTGAACAAATATAGAAAAATTGTGGACAATCTCAGAGAAATTTGTTCTCACGCACAGCGTTATTCTTTATTAAAGAGTTTTAAAGTTTGCAAGGATTTTCATGAAAAATATGCGTTAAAAAAATCTGCAAATATTATCTATCTCAATATTTTTTCATTATGACGAAATGAAAAAGAATGGCACTAAATACTGCCTGGTAATCCCTGCCATTATTAGCGTCTACTGCTAGGTAATATTTTGAGAATATAATCACAAGTAACACAATTCTCTCCTCGATGCACCACATAATGACAAATTTTATTTAATTCAGTCAACCGCATATATACAATTCACACACAATGCATTGCACGTTTCAATTATCTCGGTTACAGATCGAAGAACTGGATGTGTCGCATTGCAAGTTGATGGACACCGGCGCCCACGCAGTGGGTGAATTTCTGTCGATGCATCGGAAATTGAAAACTCTGTATTTGACGAACAACAGCATAGGACCGATCGGAATGGCTGGCATCGTTCATGGAATATTGAAAGCCAGCTCGACTGCTCTGAAAAATTTGGACTTCAGACTGAACCCTCTGCAAGACGAGGGAGCTGATCACGTATGTGCTCGTAAGTCCACGTAAGCGTTTCCATAATACTATTTTCTATCGATGATATCAAGCGACAGTGCAGAATATTCGAGAGAAAAACAAAAAATGTGCGAAATTCGCAATTTTTTTTGTTTTTCTCTCGAATATTCTGCACTGTCGCTTTTTTTTATTTAAGGATGTTTTATACCTATTTTTAAAATATTGAGAATTTAATGAAAATTGTACAGAATGTCCTTACATATGTATAGAATCGTCAGTACAATTTTTAAATCGATTCTAAAGTGTTCACAAGTTATAAGGATTTTAATTTGCACCGAATTAACATGTGTTCTTATGGAAAACGTATAACTACGTCGATTCAAATGACAAAAACACATGGAAATAATATTCAGAATTTGTTTAAAATTTACAAAAGTTTAGATACAGAGGAAATATTTGATCAAATAATATTATACAAGTACTAACTGGTTAAAAAGATATTAAATATAATTCAATCAAGTTAGCCATGTATTTGTCACAAGGCGAAATTCTCTGCCAAAAGTGAATCACTTCGATTAACAAAATTCGGAATATTTCAGTAAAAACTCAATAAATATTAAAAAATACTCTGCACTGTAGCTAAAATCAAACTGTAATATTCTAATTTCTATTGTAATATTCACAATTTCTTACTCAAAATACATCAAAAGTGGATATATTCGTCAATATTGATTTTCAGCTACTTTTTGCTGAGATTGTACATACAAAACATCCATAAGGATGTTTTATACTTATTTTCAAAATATTGAGAATTTAATAAAAATTGTACAGAATGTCCTTACATGTGTTTGAAATCTTCAGTACAATTTTTAAATCGATTCACTAAAGCGTTCACAAGTTATAAGGATTTTAATTTGCACTGAATTAATATGTTCTTATGGAAAACGTATAACCACGTCGATTTAAATGACAAAAACACATGGAAATAATATTCAGAATTTGTTTAAAATTTGCAAAAGTTTAGATACAGAGGAAATATTTGGTCAAATAATATATTATACAAATATTAACTGGTTAAAAAGATATTAAATATAATTCAATCAAATTAGCCATGTATCTGTCACAAGGCGAAATTCTCTGCCAAAAGTTAATCATTTCGATTAACAAAATTCGGAATATTTCAGTAAAGACGCAATAAATATTAAAAAATACATCTTTGCACTGTAGCTAAGATCAAATTGTAATGTTCCACACAATTTCTTACTTCAAAATACATCAAAAGTGGATATATTCGTGAATATTTTCAACTACTTTTTGTTGGGATTGTACATACAAGCTGATATACAGAAAAAAGGACATTCTTGTTTTGAAAATATATTTAGTTTTAACATGGAAATCTTGAAATGATATTGTGTTAATTAAAGAAAAATATAATTGCTTGAATAATTGCTTACTTAAATGAAGCTATTTTATATAGTTCAATCAAGAAAAATATATTTTTATGATTTAAGATTTAATTTTCTTGAATAGAAAAGAAATAATGTTATTATAGATAGAAGATAACATTTTTAAATCAAAGATTATAATTTTCTTAAAATAGAATTAAATAATTATATATTCTTAAGGTGACAATTACAATATTAAAATAAGACTATAATATTGTTAAAATTTAAAATTATTAAATTCTTCTAAGAAGATTATAAATTGTTGCGTATATATGAAACAAATGAACACGTTAGTTTAAGTATATAAGTTTTGATTTGACACTTATTTTTTTTCTGTTTAATAAAACTAACAATTGAACAATTTCATACTCTTCCCATAATATTATTACATTTAATATTTAATGTTTTTCATTTAATTTTAAGAGCCTGAAAAGACTGATTATCTCTCTTCCCAAATCTGAGGGAAAAATGATCTAAAAAAGTTTCGGGATTAAAATTGTGTAGCCTCGAGACTTTTGGATAAAGCATCTTGTGTATCAAAAAAGTACCTAACTCGTTACTAAACTAGAGTAGTTTCGCGATGAAAAGATCGACAGGTTTTTAAAAAAGTGTTTAAAGGAGAGTTTTTAACAAGTGTTTAAAAAATACTTTGGAAAGTTTTCCCGTTGGGTATGAATATAATAGTAGCGAATATATTAAAATTCACTATCGGATTCTTTAACTTATAAACTCTCAAATCAATCTCATCACTTTTATATCTTTTAATAAAATCGATAAATATTTGTGTGTGCGCGCGATAATAAATTTTCGAAGTACACTTAAACTTTTCCAATTTTTTTAGTTATACTGTTACACAAATAGCACGTACAATTTTCAATAAACAACTCGATTCATCACTTACGTTCTAATCAGATCTATCCAAAAGTCTCGAGGCTACACAATTTTAAACCCGAAACTTTTTTAGATCATTTTCAGATTTGAGAAGAGAGATAACCAGTTTTTTCAGGCTCTTAAAATTAAATGAAAAACATTAAATATTAAATGTAATAATATTATGGGAAGAGTATGAATCTTCCGACGAGAGAAATAGAACGATGAGCGTAAATAAACGCGTGATTAGATTTAACGATTATTCCCTACAGTTTTGTTTCTTTATCCTATAACAACGATATATACGCGATAGATGAGATTCTTTTATTTCTTCGAAAACGCGCGGCGCTACTCCGGAGATTATCCATTTGTTTTCTGCGAAATTTAGTGCTTGGGTAATATAAAGCTCGCCCAAGTAAATTGAAATTTAATGTTGCGTGTAGTGCTGCTTTATTCGAAGCGTTGGCGTGCGGATGCGTTGCATCCTCGCCAAGCGACGAAAAATTCTTCATATTCCGACACACTGTTCTCTTTCTCTCTGGAAAAACTAATATTTATCATTATAGGTATATACATGGTGTTAAAAAAGTCTGGACACTCGAATATCTCGATAAGAAAGAGTTTTACTAGAAAGTGTCTCAGACAAAAGTTATATGGCTTGAAAGGGGACATAAGATGGTGCCATTGATTTGACATTGAAGAGTCACCTAAAGCTCACGTGAAGATTACCTCCAACTTTTTAAATAGGACACCCTATATACTTTTGCATATTCTTGTAGCTTGCCTCAAGAGTTTTTTTCCCCATTTAAAAAGTTGGAGGTGACCTTCACGTGGCCTTCAGGTGACTCTTCAAGATCAAATTAATGGCACCATCTTATGTCCCCCTCGAAGCCGTACAACTTTTGTCTGAAACACTTTCTAGCAAAACTCTTCCTTATCGAGATATTCGATCGTGTCCAGACTTTTTTAACACCGTGTATATGATCGATAATAAACTCGGATTTCTCCAAATGTACGTGTTCTATTTACGTTCTCGAGTGTAATATTCACGACAAATGACAAACGCCAGAGAATTTTTTTATAAAATTTTTTAATATAATTTTTATATAATTTTTTAGAAAATTTCTTGCGAAATTCGGCGAACAATTAATAATGTTTCATTCGCGCGGAAAAATGCTTAACAGGTGCAAAGAAAATGCAAGCGTCTAACGTTGAAAAATTCAAAATTCATTAAAGAAAATATCCTTATTGTAAATTTTATTTTAATATCGTGTAGTCGTTTTATCGTTCAAAAAAAAAAAGTCTATCCGTGATCTCGTAGCAAGCAAGGTCGCGGTGCTGCTATTGCGAATTAAAAAAAAAAAGAAAAAAAAGAGAAAAGGCTGAATTCTATATAATCGCGGAACATTAGCATAGCATAATCGACCTGCGAGTAGGGAAAGCGTGGTATAAGCGGCACGCTGAATTATTTAAATAAATGCAAACTGAATAGCAAATCGCGGCATGCGCGTGCATACAGATCGCATGTTATGGCACGCAGAACGTGACCGAAGCTCTCATTACATAAAAATGTATGAAAGGGCAATAGCACTTGCCATTACAAGAGCAAAATCACTGCCGTAATTTCCCGGATGTGTAATACACATGTGTTGCTTATTAAAATTATAGAATCAATTTTGCATCTATAAATAAAAAAAGATAGGTTCACTTCTGCAGCTTGGAATTTTTTTTTTTAATTTTGTTGAAAAAGAGTTCGGTTGGCATTTTTAGATCGTATAACCGGGGGGAAGAAAAAGTGCCTTAATAAAAAACATTATATATGATAAGTATACGATTGCGTGTGTTGCTGAGCTTAATAGTCATTTTTAGGATTTTCTCTTTACGTGAAATTTATATTATAATTTTGTATAAAATTTACTTTATAATTTTTTATATCGCTTATAATAAATCTATTACGATAATATGGTTTTTAATTTATCTAAAAAATTATCATATTTATATCATATTATGTTTATCATTTTTGTCATTTTTATTACAGTTCTAGTGAGAAACAAAACGTTGGAAACTTTGAATATCAGCGGCTGTGAATTAGGATCTGAAGCCGGCATAGCGCTTGCAGGAGTCCTTTCTTCCGGCTGCGTGAAACTTGAAATCCTATCTCTCGATATATCGAACAACGATTTTGGATTAACTGGTATTGAAAGGAAATTTCATCCTTCTATATAAAATATATTTTTCTTTGAAAATATTTTTCTCGTAATAATATAACTCAATAAGAAGAGAAAAGTTTAAAAAAAAATCTCTCAAAGATCTGTAAAGTCATCTATAAATGATATAATTGAGATAATAAGTATAAAGAGAATTTTACAATTTTTAATAAAAATTTTAATAAAAATTTTTAATAAAAATATATTATATAAAATATTATTAAAAATATTATTAAAAATATTATTAAAAATTTTAATAAAAATTTTTAATAAAAATATATTATATATACTCTCTAAAAGTGAATCAGTGAAAATATCACTAATTTAAACAGTAAAATAAGATTTCACTGATTCTCAGTGAATATTTTACTGATTTTCAGTGGAAACGCTTATTTTTTTGTTATTTTATCTTATATTTCACTGATTATAGTTGATTAAAATAAAATTCACTGTAAAATCAGTAAATTTCATTGTAAAACCAGTAATCGCTAGTTCGTTTATTTACTGCTGCGATCGTTATTTCTCTCATATTTAATTTTAATTATAAGAATTATATAAAGTTTGCAAAGAGCGACATTTAAAATTAGAAGTATTACTTCGATTTAATTTCTTATACAATCTCAATAGAGAGGCTTCAGATATTAAATCGATTTTTATAAGTCGAACAAATAAATATCTGGCGACTTATGAGATGAAAATTATTCGTTTGTTATCTATTTAAAATAACAAGTTCAATATGCATATAATATAAATAAAATAAAATTTTTAATATAATAAATAATTAGTAAATATAAAGGAAATTTTTAATTTTATATGAAGTAGATAGAGAGATGAATTATAGTTTAATATTATTGACAATAACGAAAGAAATATTACTGATATTGAGAAATATTACTGATTGAAACAGTCAAAATTATTAACTGATTCTTTCAATAAAATATCACTGATTTACAGTGCTTCTTATAACTGCTGTAATCAGTGACTATTTACTGTTTTTCAGTGATAATACACTGATTCACTTTTAGAGAATAAATAATGTATGTATCAAGAAGTTGAAATAAGAATTTCGAAATAATTAAAGCATAACGCATGTATTAACTAATAGTCTTGTGAAAATTCCTAAAAAATGGCAATTCTGTTAATTCTAAAACTTAGAAAATTATTATCGTTACGTTGTGTTATTAAAACAATTTTCCATCCGACATGTAATAGTCTAACAAGAATCTAATGTCAGGATCTACTCTGGAAAGATTTGTAGCATGATGCAAAAAACGGCAATAAAATTTGTTCCAGCTGGGGAGTCATTCGAAGCGGCCGTGGCCTCCTGCTCGTACATTATCCATTTGGATGGTCGAATGTGCAATTTCTCGAAAGAATCGGAGTACTCGATCAATGAGAGGGCGTACAGGTGAGACCCGATCATTGGATAGAATAAACATTCCATCTGTTAAAATTCATTGAACCTTCGAGCAACCCCTCTCTCTCTCTCTCTCTCTTATTTTATCAACGATTTTCATCATCCGATTCGCGACGGGAGATACAATATCGTAAATTTTAATATTAAACTTCTTAAGGGACAGAAGGGACTAAAAGGATGTCGTAGAAGCGTGCGCAGCCTGCTGCAGATGTATAAATTTCTGTCGTGTTTCCATGATACTTGACTTTATTGGCGATTTTATGCGGATCTTCCACATATATACGAACCATATACTCATTGGTATAATTTATTAAGACACGTAAAGAGATTGTTATATTCCTAAGGGGAATCGTGCAATTTCTACGTGCTCGAGATATAATTTCCAAATGCTGCTCCTCGTATTGATATTCTAAATCTTGTAATGCATTTCAATGCAATGTATTTCACATCGTACATCATACCTTCCTTTTTAAATCAGGATCAGAATAATGTATTAAGCAATCTTACAATCAAATATGTGTATACATAATACACACTGTAATGTTACTAATTTATTTAATTTATTTAATTAATATTTCTTATTATTACATTAATCCATTATTAGTATTTATTTCTTAGACAGTATTTAAACAATAAATAAATAAATAAATATATAAATATATATATATATATATATATATATATATTTATATATATATATATATATATATATATATAGAGTAATAGTATATAGTACTATAAATAGTAGCCCACTATTTGTATAGCGATATTCCTCGTGGAAAACTGAGTCGAAAAATCCTGAACCATTTTTTTCTATAATGCTTAATAAAGCGGTAATTAATGAATAAAGTTGCGCCAATAAGCATCAACCTTTAATTTCCTTAACAAAATTTTCTTTAAGGAAACTCTTTTAATGGAAGAAATATGATTCTTAATGCAAAATAAAGTTTTTCGCATTTTAGAAGAAAAAAATGGTTTCAAAAAAATAGTTTCAAATTTTTTTCATTGTAAAAAGAAATGGTTCAGGACTTTTCGACTCAGTTTTCCACGAGGAATATCGCTATATACATAGTGGGCGCCAATTAAGTGACACCCTATATATATATATATATATATATATATATATATATATATATAATTGTTATTAATTTACATTTTATTTATATTTATTTTAATATCTTATTTAAGGATGTTTTGTACAATCTCAGCAAAAAGTAGCTGAAAATTAATATTGACGAATATATCCACTTAATATTGATGAATATATCCACTTTTGGTGTATTTTGAGTAAGAAATTGTGAATATTACAATAGAAATTGGAATATTACAATTTGATTTTAGCTACAGTGCAGAGTATTTTTTAATATTTATTACGTTTTTACTGAAATATTCCGAATTTTGTTAATCGAAATGATTAACTTTTGGCAGAAAATTTCGCCTTGTGACAGATACATGGCTAACTTCATTGAATTATATTTAATATCTTTTTAACCAGTTAGTACTTGTATAATATTATTTGACCAAATATTTCCTCCGTATCTAAACTTTTGCAAATTTTAAACAAATTCTGAATATTATTTCCATGTGTTTTTGTCATTTGAATCGACGTGGTTATACGTTTCCCATAAGAACACATGTTAATTCGGTGCAAATTAAAATCCTTATGACTTGTGAACGCTTTAGTGAATCGATTTAAAAATTGTACTGAAAAGATTCTAAACATATGTAAGGACATTCTGTACAATTTTCATTAAATTCTTAATTCTTTCAAAATAGGTACAAAACATCTTTAAATTAATAATATAAGGATTGCATGTATATATTTACTAAATTTAATTATTACTAACATCTCTTTCTATTGCACGTTGAAAATACGTTTTATTTCATCGAAAATTTTATTGAGAGATAGACGAGGCGAGATAATTCCTTCGATATTTCGATTCTCTCCAAGTCAACGTCGTCGCGAGATATCCGATTCGTTCTCGGTTGGCAGGCTGTGTTTGCAAACGTCATTACGCCCGAAAGGACAACACGATCGCCGCCAGAATAGTATAGGTCGACAACTCTAAGTTGCAAGGAGTTCGCGCGACAAGGATGGCGAATCTTGCAACGTGCTTGGCGACGCGCCAACCCTTCGCCAGGAGATAACTTTTCTCCTTCACTAGACAGACGACAATGTCTCTACGAGGAGACATCGTTAATACATACCGCGTTAAGAGTTCGCAAGAGCGAGTTTGATTGTCATAACCGAGGAAAATCGGCAGCGAGATTCATCACGAGTCACTGTCCCGCCCCTCGCTTCTCGCACCCAGTTACAACTTTGTACACGCGCTATTTAAACGCGCCTCGTTCCACAACCCAGCGCTAATTTAGTCGATCGATTTATCCGCTTTTCCTTCCTTCCTTTCTTTTTTTAAGAACGCACACGCGGTTATCTCCCTCTGTCGTTACGCAGATCGTACCTTCCGTGTACCTTTGACCTATTGACGCCGTTTACTCGCGTGTCGCGTAATATAAACGTAGCACAAGGATTCTCACTGAATACACCTCGGCTCGATTCTAAAAGGTCCATCGCAATTAATTCTACGCGGCAATCTTTCAACAGCTAGAAGTAGCAAAAATGTACTCGAGACGCGTCCAGCGAGTTGACATCAGAAATTAATTTGTCCCAAGTTAACAACACACGCTTATCTCATTAGAAAAAATGTATACTTGCATTCTCATAAATTTTAATACAGAATATCGTTATTCTTTAGATGTGTTTTCTGACTGTATCATTACATTTTAAGTCTGATTCATCATAATTAAGAACAAAAAAAGATATATTTTTGATAAAAGATATATCTGTGATTTTTTTATCTCTGATGACAAATGAGAATAATTTCCTTCCTCATACTTGAAAAGAATCGTCATTGTTATCATGTTTCGATTTATTGTATTTTCATTTATTTAATATTGTTATATTTCAGATGTGTTTTCCGATTGTATCATTTTAAGTCTGATTCATAATTAAGAACAAAAAATATACATTTTTGATAAAAAGATATATCTGTGATTTTTTTATCTCTGATGACAAATGAGAATAATTTCCTTCCTCATACTTGAAAAGAATCGTCATTGTTATCATGTTTCGATTTATTGTATTCTCATTTATTTAATATTGTTATATTTCAGATGTGTTTTCCGACTGTCATTTTAAGTCTGATTCATAATTAAGAACCAAAAAGATACATTTTTGATAGAAATATATATCTGTGATTTTTTTATCTCTGATAAAAAATAGGAATAATTTCCTTCCTCATACTTGAAAAGAATCGTCATTGTTATCATGTTTCGATTTATTGTATTCTCATTTATTTAATATTGTTATATTTCATATGTGTTTTCCGACTGTCATTTTAAGTCTGATTCATAATTAAGAACAAAAAAGATACATTTTTGAAATATATATCTGTGATTTTTTTATCTCTGATGAAAAATAGGAATAATTTCCTTCTTCATACTTGAAAAGAATCGTCATTGTTATCATGTTTCGATTTATTGTATTCTCATTTATTTAATATTGTTATATTTTAGATGTGTTTTCCGACTGTATCATTTTAAGTCTGATTCATAATTAAGAACCAAAAAGATACATTTTTGATAGAAATATATATCTGTGATTTTTTTATCTCTGATGAAAAATAGGAATAATTTCCTTCTTCATACTTGAAAAGAATCGTCATTGTTATCATGTTTCGATTTATTGTATTCTCATTTATTTAATATTGTTATATTTTAGATGTGTTTTCCGACTGTATCATTTTAAGTCTGATTCATAATTAAGAACCAAAAAGATACATTTTTGATAGAAATATATATCTGTGATTTTTTTATCTCTGATAAAAAATAGGAATAATTTCCTTCCTCATACTTGAAAAGAATCGTCATTTTTATCATGTTTTGATTTATTGTATTCTCATTTTTATATCCACATTCTCGGTCTACTGCAATCGCGCATATTTATCTTCCATCGACCACATTTTTCAATTTATTTTATCGCAATGAGTTATTGCTGCCCGGTCGCAGTTATAAATGTTTGCATGCTGTGTTTACGCAGGAATAAACAAAATATGAAAAAGGAAAGGAACAGAGCAACGTTTTCTCTAAGACACGTCCATAATTCATCTAGCGCCAAGAATCTGCAACAACATCCGGAAGTTGGGTCGTCATTCTCAGAGTCGACGAGCATTGTGAATCATTTTACTGGCAGACAAATCGATGTCGGTAAGAGTTGCTGTATTATTTTCTTCGTGCGTTATATTGCGATTTAATCTCTGCACATGAAATACAGCGGCGTTGTGCAAAATGTAAAAATATCACGCGAATTATCGCTTGTTGCCTTACGTCTTAACTGATTTAATTTAAATAAGCTACATTTCGATTGCGAAGATAAGTTCACAAAATTAGCAAGATAAATAAATTCAACTCAAGGAAATGTCATAATAAAATATTTGCTTTTGTTTATAAGAAATATATAAGAATCTTATTTTATATTCAATATTTGCATTCAAATGCAATCTTATATATCTATTAATATATCTAGTATTTATTTTTGTAATTTTTGATGTAATTAGTTCTTTCATAACATTTCAATTTAATGAACCTGACTACTTTTCGAGCTTAAAGCGACACGAATTGCTTTAAAAAAATATTCAGAACGAGATTTCTAAAAGCGATATTAAATTTAATTAAAATCATGGAATTACAGATGAGGTAGAAATGATGAAATCAATTCTCAAGACTTGGCGTAGAAACAATCCCGCCTAATAAGGGAAGCAGACGAGGTCTCTCGTTTATGGAAAATTTAAGACACCATTTGGCAGCAAAACCACGAGCGACGCATCCAGCAGAGTTTTCAGATAAAAAGCGATCGCATACAGGCTCCGTATCCATGGCTCCCCAATTTCAATAAATAAAACTATTTTTCGAAAATGTACATAACTTTCATATTTATTACTAAAAAACGAGAACTATGGATACTTGCCAGAAAAATCTTACACAATAGTCATCTCATAGTAATAATTTTCTACATGTTTTATTTCTGTATGTCTCTAATGATAAATAAATTATTATAAATAAATAAATAAATAATTCTAGATTTTTAGCCTTGTCTTGTTAATTTTGCGAAATAATAATATAATAATATTTAACAGATAATAATTTATTAATTTAACAGATCGATTCTTTCTCCGATGGAATATTGACATTTTTCAATTGCTTCTCGGGGATTTTTTGATCGACTAAACCAGCCGAACGTCATGCTCCAGCTGATTTCAGCAAATATTACGAGCTCCCTACGTCACATATTGGACGCTCGTCGATGTAGATGTATGGATTAAACCGATTGGGAATTTAGGGACATACGTGACATGACGATAAATGCAAAGAGGATAGTTACATGACGATATAATACGAACGCGTGTAACGTGACGTACGCGTCTTTCATTATGCATACGTCAATGAAAATCGTATTGTGAACTGAAATCAGCAATCGTCGGACTATCGTGAATAATATCTATGCTGTCATTGTACGGAGTTGCAATAACAATTTCTGTGCTACACGTGCTCTTTTCGACGAATACGAGGCGCACTCGTACGGACAATCGGGCCCGATTGTTGTGTATGCGACTGTTATAATGAATGACTATCCGGAAAAATTCAAAGTTACGAAGTTGCGGAACGGGAACAATGAAATTTGCATCTGGGACCGAGGATTCGATTGAACGCGGGAAAACTGTTGTAAATAACCTGAGGAACGGGAAATTTTCAGGCGCGATGTGGCGAGTCGTGAAAACTATCGTTATCGCATTTTGCAAAAAGCGAGACATTTATACACCCTCGACAATTCATGGAATTCACACTTTATTTACAAACCGATTTAGATATATTTTTATTTTCATGCAAATGGGGTTTTCGTGGTCGATCTAGAATCCCCCTCCACTCTCTAAAAGTGAATCAGTGTATTATCACTGAAAAACAGTAAATAGTCACTGATTACAGCAGTTATAAGTACAGCACTGTAAATCAGTGATATTTTATTGAAAGAATCAGTTAATAATTTTGACTGTTTCAATCAGTAATATTTCTCAATATCAATAATATTTCCTTCGTTTTTGTCAGTAATATTAAACTATAATTCATCTCTCTATCTATTTCATGTAAAATTAAAAATTTTATTTATATTTATTAAATATTTATTATATTAAAAATTTTATTTTATTTATATTACATGCATATTGAACTTGTTATTTTAAATAGATAACAAACGAATAATTTTCATTAAGTCGCCAGACATTTATTTGTTCGACTTATAAATATCGATTTAATATCTGAAGCCTCTCTATGAGATTGTATCAGAAATTAAATCGAAGTAATACTTCTAATTTTAAATGTCGCTCTTTGCAAACTTTATATAATTCTTATAATTAAAATTAAATACGAGAGAGATAGCGATCGTAGCCGTAAACGAACAAACTAGCGATTACTGATTTTACAGTAAAATTTACTGATTTTACAGTGAATTTTATTTTAACTGACCATAATCAGTGAGATATAAGATAAAATAACGAAAAAATAAGCGTTTCCACTGAAAATCAGTAAAATACTCTCTCATTCTCAGTGAAATCTTATTTTACTGTTTAAATAAGTGAATATTTTCACTGATTTACATTTAGAGAGTACTCTCTAAAAGCGAATCAGTGTATTATCATTGAAAAACAGTAAATAGTCACTGATTACAGCAGTTATAAGTACAGTACTGTAAATCAGTGATATTTTATTGAAAGAATCAGTTAATAATTTTGACTGTTTCAATCAGTAATATTTCTTTTGTTATTGTCAGTAGTATTAAACTATAATTCATCTCTCTATCTATTTCATATAAAATCAAAAATTTTATTTATATTTACTAAATATTTATTATATTAAAAATTTTATTTTATTTATACCGTATGCATGTTGAACTTGTTTATTTCAAATAGATAACGAACGAATAATTTTCATTAAGTCGCCAGACATTTATTTGTCCGACTTATAAAGATCGATTTAATATCTGAAGTCTCTCTATGAGATTGTATCAGAAATTAAATCGAAGTAATACTTCTAATTTTAAATGTCGCTCTTTGCAAACTTTATATAATTCTTATAATTAAAATTAAATACGAGAGAGATAGCGATCGTAGCCGTAAACGAACAAACTAGCGATTACTGATTTTACAGTAAAATTTACTGATTTTACAGTGAATTTTATTTTAACTGACCTGATAATCAGTGAGATATAAGATAAAATAACAAAAAAATAAGCGTTTCTACTAAAAATCAGTAAAATACTGATTCTCAGTGAAATCTTATTTTACTGTTTAAATTAGTGATATTTTCTGACTGATTCACTTTTAGAGAGCAGCAAGGTCCTAAAGCTCGTTCAAACATCATTCTTTGTACCATTCAGTGCAATCGTTTTATTTGCATTAATGGCATTAATTTCAATTTACTTGGCTGACGAAGAGCGTTTCGCTCGATCAGTCGCTTTTTTTTTTGGTCGAGATAAAAAGGGAAGTCCCTGCGGTGATTTTTAAACCAATTTCGAAAACAAAGTACGGGCACTAGATAGAGAGTTAAAACGATAGTGGTGTTCCGGTTCAAGTGAAGTTCGCGTGAATCCGACCTGAATCAATATTAACCACGTTGACCGCGACCTGCGGCTTTTATTTTAGATCCTATCCAACGGAGGAGGGAGGAAAAGCAACAAAAAGAGAAAAATTCTCCTGTCATCCGTTATACATACTGTCATAGTCTCTTTACCCTATCTTTCGCTCAATCTGATCTTTTCTCCATTTTTGTATGTCGTGTTTGTATATTTATTTGCGGATGACTGATCTCGGCTAACTTGGTCCAGTTGTCACTAAATTATACAACGTATCGAATTTCGCGAGGATGAGATTCATTCCTCCACGTGTATTGTTTCTATCCGCTTTTTTCCTTTTTTACGAGGGTGGTTTGAAAAGTCCGTGCAAAGTCAGAGAAATGGCACCACTGGTGTGTATCGAGGTTATTTTCAGTTAGTAGCATCTCTTAGGACCAAGTTTCAGCTAGATCAGTCTATTTCTCTGTGTTTGGCGTTCGTTTGAATCGAGGAAGTCGAGTGATTTCTAAAAAATGTATAAAAGAGAATTTGGCCGCAAAATTGATGAAGTTAAGGTCCCAACTCGTTCCGCATCCCCCCTATTCTCCAGATTTGGCTCCCTTGAACTACTACTTGGTCCCCAATATGAAGAAATGGCTGACGAGAAGGAGATTTTATTCAAACGAGATGATTGCGAAAACGAATGCCTTTTGCAGAGTTGGACCAATCCTATTATTTGGAAGGGATCAACAAACTGGAGCAGCATTGGACGAAGTTTATAAGCCTAAAAGGAGACTATGTTGAAAAATAAATAAGGTTTATCCCGAAAAATTAAAAGTAGTTTTCATTTTTGCACAGACTTTTCAAACGACCCTCGTGGTTCCTAAGCATCGTAAACATTTCCATATGCATTGAGAGAGCCCTTTCATGAATCTGCAAAAATTCTATTCCTTCTTACCTGATTTAAATGAAATCTAGAAATAACAGAAAAATATAAAAAATATTCAAGATACGTATCTTGCACAATAATCAAATTTTTAATTATTTGTGAAACAAGCCCTCTAAAAACCCTCGAAAAGTAGCCTATGTTTTCGTTGAAAGAAATTTTTTTTAAATACATCCCTTTACCTGTTTATTAAAATCAAGACATAATAAGACAATCGTTTCATGTAAGAATCCCTCGAGCAAAACAATCGTCCTATTTTCTCACTTATAATTTGATTTACAAATCAAATAATTCCCTCGATATAACAAGTTATGTCGATGTAACATTATGTGTACATTCTTCGAATAGCGGACCTTTCGTACGCGAAATAGTATTAAAAAGGCTAAAAGCTCGGCTCGGAGCAAAGTATCATGTATATTTAAAAAGCTCGAAAATAAAGTTTCCACCGTGGATCGACAATTTCGCGGGGAGGGGGAAGAGAGAGTGAGAGGGTTACTCTCGCTAAAGTACATCGGAGTTCGCGCGTTCTCGATTTGTGTTTTCGCGACCTTGCTATACTCGCGGTCTCTTCTTCCTCCTCCTCCTCTCTCCCAGGCAATCTGGATCCCTGGCAAGATGCGGAAGCGTCTGGGGAAATATACATTGTTTAAACAACTGCGAGCGCGAAATTTTCTGATCCGTCTCAGAGAAGAAGGTCAATCTAGAGCTCCGCGCATTCGACAAATTGAAGGGGGACGATGCGGAATGCAAATCTCACTGTTTTTCGAAGATTCTTCCGTACGCTTTCGCGCTCTATTCAATTTATTCAATGCTATTCGACGACAATCCTCAGCGAGACATTGCAGGAAAACACGCGCGTTTGCTTTCGTGCAAATTCCAATTGCAAACTTATACCGTGTATCACGAAGATATTTAAAAAGACCGCAGAAATATATTTTTTATAGTTTATACATGGAATAAAAAACGTTCATCGAGTAGTTTACAAATGATTGAATCGAAATTAACAATAATAATAAATATATAAATTATATAAATATATAAATATATAAATAATATAAATATATTATATAAATATATGAATATAAATATAATAAATAATTATAATATAAAATATATATAAATTATAATTATAATAATTAAATTAACATATATAACATATATATATAATATATATAAATAATAAATAATATATATATAAATATTATATATATAAATAATAAATAATAATATATCAAATATAGATATAAATAATAATTATAATAATTAAATTAACATATAAAATATATATAAAATATATATAAATAATAAATAATATATATATATATATA